CTCAACATAATTTAAGTTCCCGAAAATTTATAATACAATATTTCTACGAATATTACCCTGTCTTGAATCTTGTGCAACCCCATTGTTCGGCATCTAGAGAGGAATTTCTATCACGGACAGATGATAGAAGGCGTGTCTATCTCGCGCTCTTCAAAAAAAGCGCGGATCATCGAGACGAGCTCTCAGAATTTTTAATAAGCGATATCGACGACGTTAGCGGATTTTTATAGAAAGGATAGGAAGATACGTAAATCCGATTGTTTGCTCGATTAGAGCGCAAGAGCAAAGAAGAGGGGGAGAGGGGAACAAAAAAAAATTGTCGCTCTCAATGTCGACATTAAAATTGCAAAGCGCACGAACAGGAGACATCCTGCTTTCCTTCGATCTCTTTCCCTCCCCTTCATTTCTTTCTCGACGTTGTTGGTCGTGATTGTCCCCGGGGATCCGCTTCGACAAGTAGCACTAAATGAAAAACCCGCCGTCTGTCGTTAAAACGCGTTTGCGTTCGCGGATGCGTTATTAAAATCTACCATTGTTCGACAATGGATACATGAGACGACGGGGGTAGAAGGAGTCTGAAGGAATATTCCTTTATACTCGCGAAGTCGTTTCTCCGGGACTCGCGGGTGCGAAAAACTCAGTCGCAGGCGTAATAACGATAATGAAGACCGATAAGTCGATAAAAAACCAAAAAGACCGATAAACCAAACGTGGACGACAGAGTTCGGCGGAATAAAGTTCCACGTTGAAATTTCCCTGGGAATTGCTCGAGATGTATATCTCGAAGTGAATTGATTATAATAGTTGGGAGAAGAATCGCGCGAGTGACTGACTACGAGTGCTCGACTTCCGGCAAAAGTTGCGGAATACGAGAAGAAAAATGGCGGGAGTCACGCTGAGTGGAAGTAGAGTAGAGTCCATAATTTGTGTGTAAAGTCTCTTTCGGAGAGATATATCTTCATATTTAAAATAAACTTCGCAGATTTTGGAGTAGCTTCGCTCTCACCTCCAACTCCCGCATAACTCGAATACAAATCATCGATATTACATCTGTCGCATATTCGTATATTTATGAATGCGACGCAGGATTAAAGATTGCCAAGCACACGTAAAAATTGAGGAATTCGGATATTTTAATTTTTAATATTTGATATTAATTTTAATCTATTCATTTTTTATATTATTATTTTAATTTATTAATTTATTAATTTATTAATTTATTAATTTATTAATTTATTAAATTTATTATATCTTAATTTATTTATTACACTTTTCACAAAATGTGAAATTAAAGTCTAATTTTTCCACGATACATTTCCTCGACTCATCCTGAGCTTTATGACCGCGAATTTCCCGATCCCTTCGGAGCCTCTCTCATCCCTCGCGATGCTTTTACATCGGACCTTCGTGAAAGATCGATGAAATTTCGCGCACCGAGTTCCGAGGCATACCAAATCCGTAGCGATAAACGGATGGGCCGTTGCGTATTTCGGATAGTATCGGCGATCGAAATTTATGGCACGCTTAGAATTGGGCCGCATCGATCGCCGATTCGCGCTGCCTATCCCTCCCGACATCGGCAGGCGAGATGGGATCGCTAAACAAATCTGTCCGTCAATTTTATTTCGATCGAGAGACGCCAATCTTGTTCTATGCACGTCCATTTATCATTCATTCTAAACTTATTCATCTACGCATAAATTATATATATATATATATATATATATATATATATATTGAGTTAAGATAATATAATTATGAATAATAATAATAATAATAATAATAATAATAATAATAATAATAATAATTATGACAATAATAATAATAATAATAATAATAACAATGACAATAATAATATATAATAATAAATTTAAAAGTAATAAATAGCACATACCTCATTTATTATTATTATTATTATTATTATTATCATTAAATTTATTATTATTATTATTATTATTCATGAGACTGTATTATCTTAACCCAAGAGATATATCGCAACTAATTTGCCATTAATTATTATTAAATGAATAAATAATTCTAAATACTGGTAAACTAAATTATTAGTGTATTTGGTAGCAGCGTGTTTAATAATTAATCCGAAGTTAATTAATATAGCCTCTTCACTATGGTACTGAGTTAAAATATGAAAAAGTAGGTAACGTACAAGTTAATCTAGCGTTAATTAATTCGCATTATTATGTCGATGCATCAACGCGTTAATTACTTTCTCCATCTGTTAAAAATAAAGTACATATATATTTTTTTAAATAAATATAGTAAAATATATTTATAAAACATATATATATACACATATATATATATATATATATATATATATATATGTATATATATCTTATATATTTGAAGGTGAAAATTATTATATTAGTTGAATTTGAAAAAAAAAAGAAACATGCGCGCAGAAAACGAATGACAATTCGTTCGCGCGCATATGTTCAATTAAAATTCCACCAGATTACATATATTATTACGGAAGGTAGATAAAAGGGAGAGAGAATACGCGGTAAAAGTCACTTGACATTTGGCGGTTCGGGTTTCCGCAACGTTACCCCCCCTGCTCCCCCCCACTAGAAAAGGGGGAGGCAACTAAACGGTCAATAAAATAAAATCGAACTAAACTAGCAAATTCGGGAGTCGCGTCGGCGACGAGAGGCTTGTCATCGCTCGTATAATTGACGGTAATCGATGGCAATCGACTATCGAATACGCGCTCGCACATTTTAAATCCCTCCATTCCATTTACGCACGTTTCATTACGACACTTTTCGCCTCTCGCTCTCCCTATTCTTTTTACTTTATATCTCGGAACACGCGAATGTATATTCATGCGCCTCGCCAGGAAGTACCGAGGGATACCGAGGATCGCGCGACGCGATACGTGTCTTACCTGCTTGGACATTCGTCCCCGGGAGGATCCGAGGATCCGAGGCGAGTCGGGCGATCAGTCACGGGAGGCGAGCGGCGACGGGCTCATGGTTGGCAGCCTGATGACAGCGCGCGGGTTGACAGCGCGTGGGATGACAGCGCGCGGGATGACAGACGACGCGACGACCAGCGCAGGTGGACGCAGACGAGCCGGTAGGCCAGACAGCCGCGCACCAACTGCAACGGAGCCGCGGCAGAGGCAGCGACATCCTCCCGCGATGCTCCTCCGTGACGTCCTCCTGGACGAAAGTGTCGCTCGATCGATACGCGTGCGCGCTTCCGTCTCGGCGGACGAGGCACTCCGGAAGTCGTCCACGATCGCTATTATCGACGGCGACAGGGTGAGAAGATTGTCCAGACCCTGGTAATCAGGTGTGATTAATCATGTTATTATTAATATTATTATCATATTATTATTAATATTATTAATTATATTATTAATAATATTATTATTATTATTATTATCATATTATTATTAATATTATTAATCTTATTATTAATCATATTATTATTAATATTATTATCATATTATTATTAATATTTTTAATGTTATTATCATAATATTATTAATCATATTAAGATATGATTAATCATATTATTATTAATATCAATAATACATACATACAACAAAATGGCTTGCTGGCGTGAGAGTAACCTCGCAGAGGTTGCATAGTTGGCTGTCTGGGAAATCTCTCGAGAACGGGAGAATGTGTGTTTTTAATTGGAATCCGAACGACGATTATACGCGAATTACGATGGCAGACACTCGCGATACTTGTTCGCACTTTGAGACGATAATATATCGCGAAAAACGCGGCGCGATTCGGAGGCGACTGCGATCCATCTCGGCGGGATTAAGTTACTGAGAAGATTCAAACAGTTTGCGATTCTCGAAGTGCCTACATTCTCGATACATCTGTCGAAAAAGCGCGGGCTGATCAGATTATTTGAAATATGAAAATAAAATGAAACTTGTCAAGAAGCGTCTAAAAGGATCATTATATTTCCTCCGAAACAATATTTATATTTCTGAATAATTTAAATGCTTAATTTTAATTAAATTGGACATTTTTACGCATCTTTGCGTAAATTGTAAATAAACGATAATCAAGATGTCTATTCAAGTCTTGTAAAAAAAATTCCTTGATCTTGTTAGGATATTTTTGTTTTAAATTTTAGATAAAAAAATATTTTAAAGATTTTTTCTTTAAACAATTTTTTAGATAAACTTTTGTACACTTATACAAAGGAAAAACACAAAATCTCTTAAGTTTTAATTAAATATTAGATTTATAAATGTATTGAAAAAAATCGAATATGTATCATTTTCGTAAGCTAAGCACACATTCACTTGTATAATATTTTCATTTTTTTATCACCAAGAATTGTAATAAAAAATATGTATTGCATATTCAATATTTTGTTAAAACATTTAATATATATAAACGAAAATAAATATATATTTATTATATATTTTTTATAGGATAAATATATCTAAGTAAATATTATAAAAATGATTGCAAAATATAGTATGAAAATTAATTGCAATAATCTACTTAATATAATTTGAATATTGAAAATATTAAATGTGCAATCAAATAAAATTCGAAATTTATTATTGTGAAATTTATTATTAATATAAACTTCAAAAGTTTGAAAATACATATGTGAAAAATCATGGTATGACACAGATATAGAATAAAAGAATAAGTGCATATATTTCCAATATATGCTCCAACGACAAACATTTTTTTCTTTTTTGTCTTAATAAATTATATTATTAAATGTTCCTATGTAAATTACTTACCATTCAAGCAAACTCGCACTAATTTTCAGAAGCAATATAATTTTACAGTAAATTTTAAATATGTTGCAGACTTTTATAAATTCAGTCTTTTTACAAAAAGCTTAGGCTATTTATAAGTAATCTTATAAAAACTTAATGCTATACAAAAGATTAATTTTATAAAAATCTGTAACATGTATTTTATAAAAATCTGCAATATATATCATAGTGGATAATTCACAAAGTTCAATATGGTTTTTATTATCAAAAAAAACTTTTAGTTCTTTTTGTTTTGGGTGAGAGAGAATTTATTATAAGAATCTGTTTTGAATCTATTAACGATTGTAAAGTTTTACTTCCATAATACATTAAAAAAGAAACTTAAGGAATATTACTTTAAGGAATATTAGCGAGATAATCTTTAACATTGGAAGGATCCAATTTTCTGAATCCATTTGCATCACAAATGCCAACTTCGATATTATCTGCAGTCATTTGCCCTTCAAAACCTTCTTTAAGCGTTAAAATGGCAGTGTGAACAGCATCGTCCAGTTCCAGATCCTCACTGTATCTCTTTTCCAGAAACGTTTTGCCGTTGATAAAGTTTTTACCCATTGCAGTTGCCTTCCATGCGAAATATGTGCCGGACGGATCGCATTGGAATAAATAGGGCCTATCATTATCCCAACCACAAATCAAAAGAGACACTCCAAAGGGTCTGACACCTCTATAAATTAATAACGAGTTCATATTATTGCTTTATCATTATTTGTCTCTTTATTTTTGATTATTCACAGATGCATATCCTCAATTATTAAAAGTATATAATATTGAATTAAAAATTCAAATAAATACTGGATGGCAACTCACCCAGACTGTGTGTATTCTTGCATGACCATCGCGACACGTTGCACAAGCTGTGCGGTCGGAATGGGTTCTCGATAAACCAGGAGATACTGTTGTGCCATTTTTCGCGCTTGCTTCACTAATAATCTATAGTCTGGACCCATACCGCTGTAGACCATGCCAATGTGCTTTGTGATCATTTCGACCTTGCTAACACTATGTTCATCGTAGAGGATAGACTTGTGCTTGTTCTCGGTGGCAAGAACAACGCCATTTAATGCCTTGATACCCACACTTGGGGCACCAGCAGCTACTGCAGCCAAGGCATATTCTATTTGCACTAGCTTGCCTGATGGACTGTAAAAGAGGCAATTTCATTAATTGACATATCAATCGAATTATAAAAAAATGCCAAGATATATAAATTATAAATTTTATTAATTTTATTAATATTATATAATTATATATATTTATTTTATTAATATTATAAATAATATATAAATTGGAAATTATAAATTATATAAATTTATATAATTATATTATAAATTATATAAATAATATATAATTTATATATGTATTATATTCAATATATAATTTATATATATATATATATTATAAATAATATAATATTTTTATGAATTTTGACAATTGATATGTCAGAGAATTTGACGAGTCATCCTATCATATGTTATTCGACATTAGATAAAATCTATTCGCGATTATTTATGTGTTTATTGATAAAGTGTTAATATTAATAAGATAATATTAATAATTGAGATAAAATTTTTCATTTACAATAATGGAAAAATATGCCGAGAATAAGACCAGATTTAGAGGTTAGATTATTACAGTCACTTTGAACCCAGTATCCGTCTATTATTACAAACACAAATATTGCTTAAAAGTTTATTGACTCACTATTTTCACAATTATAATGTGACTGTAAATATATTTACCTAAAAGTCGTTAACGAAAAACTGTACCGCTCCGAAGCCATGACAATTACTTTTGCAACAAAATAGGAGCACAAAGTACACCCACAAATATCGAGAAGCTTGGCAGAAGGGACTGGCAACCTGTAAGAATCAGATGGGAAATGTTCCTAGAAGCATTCCTAGGAATAAAGGTGCAATTTCATTGACGCTAGAAACCAGCGGCAAATTAAAATCACTAGACTTTCTCTAGATGTGGCGTCAATAAAATAAAGTTCAAACAGTTTCAACTTTTTCAGTGTGTAAAGCGGCCTTTTCATTGACGCTACTTTTTAGCGTCAATGAAATTGCACCTTAGCAGTTGGCAGCCCTACGAGATAGGCTGTGCAGCACTGCGCGTATATAAAATAAATTTGAAATCGCTTCTAGCCTAACCATCTTCACGCGATCGACTTTATTTGAATTGCACGGCATCGCATCGAATTATGATGCGGCGCCGATTTGTTCGAACGTAATTCGGGACATCGCGATGTTGTATAAGCGTCGAATGAGCACGAATTGTCACGCAAATATGATAAATCACATCTACTCACCGTTCACCGGCTGTTTCACAGGCCGCTCCATTCGCTCGCCTCGGGACGTCCCATTCCGATCTTGATGCACACGATATCATCAACGCGAACGCGCGACACTTTATTCGGCACTCCCGATATTCGCTCGCATCCGATAATCATCATCAAGGGCACAAATAACGCGACGCGACTTCGCTCCATCTTCGCGATCGCGCTATCACTGAACTGTGAAAAATAGCTGTCGCGCACTTTCACCGACATATTATGAAAGTCGCGTGATCATCCTTGAACACTTTCGACGCTCTTTCACTCGCGATATTCGTTTAAAAACGGTTAAAAGACGCGAAAAATGCGGACGTACGACGATCCGTGTAACTGCGTATGACTCCGATTCACGTATGACGCGTATGACGTAGCAGTGACGTCATGCGCCAACATGGCGGCCGAACCAGTGCGCACTGGTTCGGCCGCCATGTTGGCGCGTGACTGCACGTCATACGCGTCATTGCTACGTCATACGCGTCATACGTGAATCGGAGTCATACGCAGTTACACGGATCGTCGTACGTCCGCATTTTTCGCATCTTTTAACCGTTTTTAAACGAATATCGCGAGTGAAAGAGCGTCGAAAGTGTCCAAGGATGATCGCGCGACTTTCATAATATGTCGGTGAAAGTGCGCGACAGCTATTTTTCACAGTTCAGTGATAGCGCGATCGCGAAGATGGAGCGAAGTCGTGTCGCGTTATTTGCGCCTTTGATGATGATTATCGGATGCGAGCGAATATCGGGAGTGCCGAATAAAGTGTCGCGCTGATGATATCGTGTGCATCAAGATCGGAATGGGACGTCCCGAGGCGAGCGAATGGAGCGGCCTGTGAAACAGCCGGTGAACGGTGAGTAGATGTGATTTATCATATTTGCGTGACAATTCGTGCTCATTCAACGCTTATATAGCATCGCGATGTCCCGAATTACGTTCGAACAAATCGGCGCCGCATCATAATTCGATGCGATGCCGTGCAATTCAAATAAAGTCGATCGCGTGAAGATGGTTAGGCTAGAAGCGATTTCAAATTTATTTTATATACGCGCAGTGCTGCACAGCCTATCTCGTAGGGCTGCCAACTGTTAAGGTGCAATTTCATTGACGCTAAAAAGTAGCGTCAATGAAAAGGCCGCTTTACACACTGAAAAAGTTGAAACTGTTTGAACTTTATTTTATTGACGCCATATCTAGAGAAAGTCTAGTGATTTTAATTTGCCGCTGGTTTCTAGCGTCAATGAAATTGCATCTTAAAGCAAGAACTAGGTCGAGAAATCAATTCGGTCACGTGTTCGACATAAAAACGCGAGCGATCTAACGTTTACTTCTCGAGATTTCAGTTTTTCATCTACATGAAGTTGACAGAATAGCTGACAGAAATGATCAAATTTATTTTTAACTTATAGGATAAAATATAAGTCATCATAAAATTTGTTATTATTTATTTGTTTATTATTAAAAAGTATTAACTGACGTCAAAATTAAAATAAATTTGTTAATTAAAAAAAATTAATTGTCGCAAGCATTAAAAACAGACTAAAAATCAATCACAAATCAAATATATTAAAAAAATTAAAAATAATCAAATTTAATAATTCTTCAACTAGCTTCATACAGATGATTTTTTTCGACTCACGATTGATTTCCGAAAATTGTTTATGCCTTTGATTATATAAGTAGTAATCTACTACTGTTTATTATTAAAAAATGTTGACTGACATAAAAATTAAAATACTAAAATTGTTAATTATAAAAAAAATTAACTTGTCGCAAGGATTAAAAATAGACTCAAAATCAATCACAAATCAAATACATTTAAAAAAATTAAAAATAATCAAATTTAATCATTCTTCAGCTAGTTTCATACAGGTGATTTTTCGACTGACGATTAATTTCAATTTAAATTAAAAATAAAGGAAGATTTTCGCAGGTCGATTATCGCAGATGTCAACGAGAGATTTGCATCGCAAGAGAAATCGGATGACAAACATGATTCGAAATTTCTTCGTCGATTTCTTCAGCTGCACGTTGCATTGAAACGTAAGGAAATTATATCGACGATGATTGACGGTCGTTCATAAAGGAAAAAAAAATATGATCGGCGACACATCGCAAAATCAGACAGATAGGGAGCTGGTCGCATGGCTCGACAGCATCCCTATCTCGAAACCGACGAGAAATTTGACGAGGGACTTTTCGGATGCCGGTAATTTTCGATTTCCCATATTTTTTTATTTCCTCCTTTGATTTAAAATTATTCAAATTATCATATCCGGACGAATTATTTATTAGTTCTCGTGGCGGAGATCTTGAAAGTATACTATCCTCGATATGTGGAACTTCACAATTACGTTCCGGCGAATAACTTGAACACGAAGAAAGAGAACTGGAACACATTGAATCGGAAGGTGCTCGCGAAGATCGATATGAAATTGACCAAAGACGCTATCCATAATTTAGCGAGTGCGTCACAAGGCGCAATCAAGAAGTTCTTGTTGGAGTTAAGAATAAAAATTCTAAGAAATGACGAGGAAGCTCACAAGATGAATTGCAAATATGACTTAGAAGGTCGCAGATGTCGAGTAATCGTATTTATCTAGCAATAGTTAAACGTCATCGTTTACTTTTTTATAAATGTATTGGACAAAAAAATCGCATCACTTATAGAAATAGGGAAGTTGTTAATTAAAAAATATATATAACTATGATCAAATAATATTTAATTATTGTTATTTTATGCTTTAATGTAGAAAAGATTAAAAATAATAATAATATATATTTTTTATTTTAATAATATTAATATAAATATATATTATTATTTTAATAATATATTTTATATATATATATTATTTATATATTATTAATATATTATTATTTTTATTATATATTATTATTATATATTATTATTATTAATATATTATTTATATATTATTTATATATTTTTTATTTATATATATTTTTCATTAAAATAACAACTTCTCTGTTTCTATAAAATTTTTTACCGATATATGTCTATCCAGTTGGCTATGCAGAATTATTCATATTAATTAATCATATTGTTGCATGCAATATAAAGTAATATCATTACTCATCTTATACTATCATGTTGTCAATTATTGTATTATTATCAATAATTGGTGGCAATATGTCGAGAACCTCAGAAACAGTTTGCTCTCCGGATAGTATTTGTATGCTTCACTCATAGAAGAGAAAACTGGAGACTCGCTGGACAATCAATTCAATTCGTCGGTGGAAAGCTCAAGCAAACTCGAAGCCGATCCGAAGATCAATGAAATTAATTCATCGAAATTTGCGCGTCTCAAACGAGGACTCTTCTTCGTCTTCAGTTGGATTATTTTCCCTTTTTGGATCTTAATCAGCTACTTCAAACTTCCTCGTTTGGGTGGATGCAGGCGTGAGATATTTAAACGAGATAATTCGCGCGTGATGGATTTCATGCAAGAAATTGATAAGTCTTCGATTGCGTTTTGTAGGCGATGCACTTGCGGATGTCGGGACGGAGCGAATAAAAAACGTAAATGATGAAACCGTTTGTCGTGAGATCTATTCGGAACTGAAGCAAGAGCTGCGTGAAAAGGAGGAGATTATATGCACTCTGAATCATAAGATCGTGTATCTGGAGAGTTCAATGAAACTCAAGGATCTACGCATCTCCAGCTTAACTACGCAAATCCTGCAAAACGCCGTCGAGATGGATCGGTCGGTGAAATCGAGCGACGACGCTCGCGTTAAATTACGCTCGCGATCGCACAATTTTCACGAGAGCAAAACCAATTAGAAATTCGTAGCAATTGCGCATCTTGTTATAAAGTCAGGAACGAAAAAATATGTATCGTGTCATTTATTTATATGCATGTAGCGACATTAATTTCTCTCTCTTTCTTTATATCTTATTACATTGTAATTAACAAATTAAATTGCAATGTGTAAAAATTAAGTATTAAATTTCGCTAAATTTCTCCGGTATTTTAATTTAAATAGTTACTTTCTAGATAAATTTCTTAATGAAATACGTATTCTACCAACAAACACCAAGTAATATTTATAAAATTGTTAATTGTAATTTCCTACTCAACAATTATATTATTGAGTGAAAAATTATAATTAACAGTTATATAACTGTTATTTTATAATGATTAATCGAAATTTATATATTTTAATAAAGCAGAACTTTATTACATCGCGCATTTTTCGTCGTGTCAATTAAATGTCGTTCTATTGTTTGAATTTTTTTAAATAATTAATACTACTTATTATTTTCTATTTATTTTCTACTTATTATTTTCTACTTATTTTCTACTTATTATTTCTACTTATTATTTTCCACTTATTACTTCTACTATTATTTTCTTCGCATCATAATTCTACTATCTATAATTTTCGTATCTATAATTCTACTTATTACTTTTATTATTATTTTCTTCGTATCATATATTGTTTTGTCCTTCTTAATGTTCAAAAAAAAATTGCGACATTATAATACTATTAGCATACCTGAATGTTTCAAACTGTTAAAAATTATTTCCAAGAAGGCGAAAGGTCACTGATATAATCTTTACTTTATATTCAAAATAAAAAGAAGATTAGTTTATATGCATCAAGGCCACTTTCTGATCATCGCTCTTCGTCGCAAAAAGTGGGAGTCCAGTTGTAATCCGCTCACTCACATGGAAGAAACTCTGAAAGGACAGCCAACGTCAGTAATACATCGGCATGTGATCGTAACGGCACGCGAGAGATAATGGGGGTTCTGCCGTTAGTATACGTGAGTAACAAGTATGAATTAATGTATCTTCCTATAATTTACTTTTGCATATAAAATATTACTAGATAGATTTCTAAACATTTTTATTATATGTAAAATTTAAAAAGATGTATAATATATATTCTTTAATGACTTAAACACATCTTTTTTTTAATCGCAATGAAAATCGTCATTATTCAAATCCTATAACTTTGATGGTGAAATTTAAAATTACAATATCGTAAAAGAAGAAAATCTTCTATTATAGTTCAATTTAGGTTGCAATTTGCAGCAGAATTATCTAAGTAAAAATAAATAAAAAGATCTGAGAGAGAAATTCCACTTGAGGGAAGGGGTACAAGGTGGGGGAAGTCCGTGAGAGAGGAAGATGACTGGTCCAAGTGATCCAGAGACTTCCAGTCCCAGGTATAGCAAGGTCGTGTTTCATCGCGTCTCAGCTTTGCAGTTCTGTATAGTGTTCATAATATATAGTGTTCATATAATAATACATTCTCAGCCAATTTTTTTATATTAATTTTTTCGACTTCATAAACGAGAAACATCATCAAGGAAATCAGTTCAGTGCATTTATATTGAAATTGTCAAACGGTTTATCACCTGGGGCTAATTTTTTCTGGTGAATCTTACACCTAAGTATGTAGATGTTATTAATACCAGCTGATTATTTAGTAATGCGATTTTTATTATTATTGTTATTACGTTGTATGCTTAATTATGCTATTTGCATGTTTCTATTTGCATCGTAAAGTAGTATTTATTATTATTTATTATTATTTTGTGTATATTTGTATTATCATTTATTAAATGATATTGCCTAAAATATTTTTAATACATTACATGATTTTGCTTCATCTTGAAATTTATACAAGATTATGTGAAAGAATCAATTATTTTTTATAAAATCACAAGGAATCGAGTTTATTAATATTAAATATATATTTTTGTGAATTTTAAATATAATTAAGTATAATTTTTGACTCGTTTTTAATAAAGATTTCGGATAAAGTACGTTGTACATACGTTGTAAAGAGCAAGTTCAATATCTTTGAACGGTATGCATGGTCAATGACCTTCGTGTACGCTTCAGTCGTTGGCGAATCATACTTTCGAACTCTCCTGGATGGAAAAATGTAAAAGTGTGAAGGTGCATCTTGAAGATAAAAGAATTTATATATTGAAGAAGCGCACTTTATAATTTTTTTTAAACAAACAAAATTTATTAATCAAGAGATTAATTAGAGATATTAAAATTAATCTTTTAATATTGTCTTATCTTGTTTCGAAATTCGAGACAACAGACAATAGAACAAAACAAGATTTTATTGATTTTTTTTTCATGTCAGGTAATATTGATTTTTAATCCACAGCTGACTTAATTTTATTTTATAATAACAATAGATTAATTTCTATAAATATTTCTTTGATTTAAAAAAATGTATCTTATTTTTCAAATAAGTGAAAACATTAGAAACTACCATTCGCGTTTGGCTCTTAATCATTCGTTTCTTAAGTATCGTTGAAAACATTAGGTTTTATAATTCTGTGTAAAAAATGTAATATTTAAATAAGTAAAGCTTAAGTTAAGTTTGTTTATACAAAAAAATTGATTATATATCAAAAAGTGGCAATGTACATACTTCAGAATAATGATATCGAGTAAAAAATAAATCATATGATCTTAAATTATTAATATGCAAGAATAACTCATGCAATACATGCACTTTTGCAACTCATGCAAGTAACTTGATTTATTGAAAAATAGCAAGAATTGTATGTAAGTATATTTATAAAAGTTTTATTAACTAATAATATTTTATAAATATTTCCTATATATATAATTCTTATTATTTTTCAACGAACTAACTTATTAAAGATATATGTATTAATATATGAGTTATTATATGCAACAATAATAAGAGCCTGACATACGCTGCACAGTAAATATAAAGTGATACAATAATATAACATTGATGTGTTTTATTGTTGCATCCTATTTATAATTTATTTATAATATTAAAGATACCATAAAACCGCCACAAAATCAGTCCGGAATCGTCACGGAACTGTTACACGACCTCTATAGAATCACTAAATTATAAAAATTTTTCCTCAACGCGCAAGTGACATTAAATTGCATTCCGCGGAGATCTGGCAAGTGCATTGCTTCCAACATTCCTTCAAATACATTATAATTGTGCTGTGCCAAATCACAGCAGATCTAAGAAATCGAAAAAAATAATAATAAATATATAAATACCGAGAGATATTACATGTGAATTAGCTTTCTATATTTCAATTAATAGTCAGAAGCATGATTCGGATTCCGCGCTTTTTGCAATTAATAATGATAAGCCGTTGTGTATCTTTCTTTTTTGTTGGTTTGAGATTCAATGATGGAAATATATGTATGTTCTCGATTGTTAGGACGTAAACATAGATTCAACCGAAGACAAACTCGATTGACTCGATGATAACAAACATAATAAATATATGAACGAATGTCTCATATCGTCGATAAATAATCGATTATCGTCGTAAATGCATAATGCAAGTCCACTCTGCAAGTTCAAATTATAATATATAATTATTATTACAATTATTATATAATAATAATAACAATAATAATAATATTAATAATAATAATATTATATTATATGTGACATTTTAACAGAGAGAGAGAGAGAGAGAGAGAGAGAGAGAGAGAGAGAGAGAGAAAGAAAGGGTCGAGAGCGTAATTCATATTAAATTTCAATATATACTCTTGATTTTGTTTAGAGAATATGATAAGCATCCAGACAACGTTGCTTTATTTGGCTATAGCAATAGTGCTCGGCGGTGCGATTTTGCTAGTGGCAGGTGTGATTTTGCTTCGTCTCTACATTTTCTACACTTTGGGCATCTGTAAGAGCAAAAGCAGAATGGACGGGAAGACAGTTATAATCACTGGATGCACTTCCGGTATTGGCAAGGAGACCGCAAGGGACCTCGCCAAGAGGGGTGCGAGGCTCATTATGGCTTGCAGAAACACCGATACCGCTAATCAGCTAAAAGGTCTTGCCTCACTGTAATGGATTATTATCAACGTACACCTTAATTATATTTTACTCGTGTGATTGCGGTTTAATAATTCAATCACGTACGTACATCCCGTTACGTTTAGATTGATCTAGGACTCGGCTCGCGCGCACGTTCTTATAACATATAATTATAAACAATGGGATCATTTATAATTGCAAATGTTGCATCGTAATCAACTAAGACACTTTTATGACTGTACACATGTTTAAGTATGTGCTTCCTGGACTTAATTCTTCGAATCACGCTTCCTGGATCGTCAATGCTCGTAACATATATGCCTTGAAACATAATAGTTATATAAATCATGATTGATAAGTAATATTTAATTAAAACAAATACAAAGATACATATCACATTTATTAACTTTATAAAAAAATTAATATTAATAAATGATATATATCTTTTAATATTTATTTAATTTTGAAACAAAAATTATTTTGGTGTAATCTATCTACTTATGCCTTGAAACATAAGTAATAGTTATAAAAATCATGATTAACAAGTAATATTTAATTAAAACAAATACAAAGATATATATTACATTTAGTAACTTTATAAAAAAATTAATATTAATAAACAATATATATCTTTTAATACTTATTTAATTTTGAAACAAAAATTATTTTGGTGTAATCTATCTATTTATGCCTTGAAACATACGTAATAGTTATATAAATCATGATTGACAGGTAATATTTAATTAAAATAAATACAAAGATATATATCACATTTATTAATTTTATAAAAAAATAAATATTAATAAACAATATATATCTTTAATATTTATTTTAATTTTGAAATAAAAATTATTTTGGTGTAATATATCTATCTGTCCTAAAAAATTTTTGAAGCATACTATTTTTTCGATCGTTCTTCAATTCGAATATTAAAAGCTTTTGATATGAAACAATAATGTGTTTTATATTTTTTGCAAAGATTTAATATATATGTTTTTTTTCCTCATCTCTTTTTCTCTAACATACAAATATTTTTCATACGCAGACGAGTTTGTGAAGGAATCGAACAATAACAATATCGTGGTCCGTAAATTGGACTTATCATCGTTGCAATCAATCAGAGAGTTCGCGCGACAAATAAATCAAGAGGAAAGCAGATTGGACGTGTTGATTCACAATGCTGGGACTGCGGAGACTTTTAGGAAAAAGGTTACGGAAGATGGATTAGAAATGACTATGGCCACCAATTATTTTGGTCCCTTTTTGTTGACGCATCTTTTAATCGGTAAGAAATTATAATGTGCAAAAAAATTATGTATTTTATCTAATTCATCTAATGCAAAAAATTCGCAAATTCATTCTAATGCTAAAAAATTCATCTGTCGACTCATATCATAGACTAAAAATAAATTAATGATTGATATCGGGAAGATCAATGGCTGTTCAAAATAGCACAATATTAAATAAAGAGAACAGAGAGATTTTGAATGTCAAGAATTTGGAATTTCAAATCTGTCGAAAAATGTCGAGAATTTTGAATTGAAATTTAAATCGCAAAATAATATTCACCTTGATTTAAACTTTTTATGCTCTATCTATGTTCTTAGCAAACGTGTACAAGTAGTCGCGTGTAGAAAATGATTATTGATGTTAATTATACAATATCGTTAAGTTTCTTTATGTGTTCTAAGATTTTAATCAATAATAAAAAGTATTATTATGTATTATGTAAAAAATATTATTATGTATGATATGTATCTGAGTTAGAGTACCTAAATGGGTCACCTAATGACCCAAGAAAAAAACAATAATATCCTTATATTGCAATAATATCCTGTTGTACCTTAGACTGTTGTAATGTTACAAAATAACACGTATTATATATTACTGCTTTAGATCATCCAAATAATTTTTGTTATTATTTGCATATTATTTCTTACACTTTTTTCCCCACATTACCATTACATCATCATATTATTATACTGCATATTACTAATATTTTTACATTAAGTGTAAAGAAAGAAGAAATCATTTTGCACCATGAAATAAGTATAAAACCTACAAAAAATGGACATGTAAGATCCAAAATATATAATATCCTTTTTTTATCAGTTTAATTTCTAATACGATCCCAACAAGAAATTCAAAATATTAAGCAAATTATTCAAAATTCAACAGGTTAATGGGAAATAGTCCATTGAAACAAAAAAAATCGAAATATAAATTAAATCCCGGTAATTTCCTAAATTAGATACATATAATAGATTTTATTTATTTAATTATCATATATATGTTGTGTATGATCAATATTCTATTCGAATCAATTCTATATAAAATAACTACAATGTAACAACGAGATAATATATGTTACCTTATATGTATATTACAATATATGAATAAGAAATGACAATTAACATCAATAACTTACGATAACACTTATTTATATTATTTGTAACATTCCGATTTATTGCTTTTACATACCATTAATATAATAGTGTTTACCGGAAGATGCAAATCTCATCTGTATTTACAGACTTATTAAAACAATCGAAACCGAGTCGCATCGTGGTAGTTGCGTCGGAGCTCTATCGAATCGCGAGTTTAAATCTCAACAAAATCAATCCTACGACGACACTACCAGCGTACCTGTATTACGTGTCCAAGTACGCGGATATCGTCTTCACATTGGAGCTGGCGCGACGATTGGAAGGTTCGGGAGTGACGGCGAATTGCCTACATCCCGGAATGATTGACAGCGGAATCTGGCGAAACGTACCAGCTCCTCTATCTTGGTTTGTGTATCTGATCACCAAGACCTTCTTCAAGACACCCGTGCAAGGTGCACAGACGACTATTCACCTCGCGGTCTCCGACGAACTCAACGGCATCTCGGGAAAATATTATATGGATTGCGCTGTAAGAATCAGTTTTAATCCCTTTGCGAAGCTTAATATTTTTTTTCATTTCAATTATTTATCGCAAATATTTTAGGAACGTGGCCTATCAAACGCCGTGAAAGATCCTGCCAAGGGCAAGAAATTATGGGAATTAAGCGAGCCTCTGGTAAAATTACAATCATCAGATCCGAAGATCTAGACACATATATTTTCTTTTAAAAATTTTCTTAAAAACTTTCTTTTATTCTTTTCTTTCATACGTGATGGTGTCTGTAGCAATTAGTATTTAATTATAATTATATCTTATCATTAATAGCATAGCACCTCTTCATTGCGATCACAATATGTTTTGTATTGAAAAACAAAAACAATTTTTGCAAGTATTGCAGCTTAAAGAAACATCTTTTTATTAGAGAAAAGAAATTTTTTTAAAAACATGATATATATATATATATATATATATATATATATATATAATTATTAATATATATAATTGTTTGTATTTATTTGAGTAATTGGTTCGATGCATATATACATCTTTTGCTTAATCCTAGCGTGATCAACATATTTATTATAGTTTACGGTATCGGATTTAGATATTAAACCGATTAGGATATCGGATTCAGAGGAAATAGGCTATCCCATTTTTGCATTCTATCGGTATAAAATCTCGTTTTCATTGTCGGCTTCTCGGAAATTTCTAAGTAATTGTCGATTGTTAACGAGTATGGGTCCCACGTGACGTTGTTCGCCAAAGTCGGCGGTACCGGCTGTCCAGTTTTAGCAAAGTTCGACCACATACTTGTCATGAGTTCCACCATAGGTATTTCTGGCGCGTCGTTATCGAAGAAGGGAAATTTGGCCTTTATAAAGAATAGATATTGCAAATCGTCATGGTGCAACACTCCTAAAATGATCAAGTAAACAACGGATTAGTCACTTTATTCAGATGAAAATCTCGTGATGTGAAATAAATTTTTAGAACAATCAAAAAATAAGTAATATAAAAATAAAAGTCATACCGTATGGCGCGGTTTCGTTCCACATAACAAAACTGTATCGTCCTTGATAAGCAGATACGTAAAAATAGATTGGTTGATCAGTGTTCTCTGCGAATATTTTTACAGCGCGATGCAATGGAAATGTAAGTAGACCATCAGCTCCCATCTGCAACAGAATTATTCAAGAATTACGTATAATCGCGCGATTAATTATATTCGCGCTACTGTGTCGATATTTTGTAATTTTAACATCTCAAAAATCTATTAATAATTAATATATTTAATTATTCTAATATTTAATATGTATATCTGTATATATTTTACAGAGCAATTTTTACGAACTTGTGCGAGACCGTCATAGGTGTCCGGACCGATCGATTGATTACCAAAGTAAAATTGATATAATTCGGTGCTTATGTATCTGGAACGAGGTGTATCTCGTTCATAATAGATAGTCATAGGTGCGAGTCTGTACCAATCATTGTTTAAGTCGTTTATGATCGAGTTGTTTCCGCGTTTACGCTGCTCTTCAATAGCTGGAATCGAACATAAGATGTATTAGTATATTATATTTGAGGTGACTATTCTTAATTAAATGAAAACTTTAGATTTCTACCGACGATCATGCCGCCGAACTCGTCCTTGGTGACTCCTGTTATTAACGGAACCTTGTGGAACTTCCCTTTTCTAATAAGATCAAGGGGCTGTTCGGGCAAGAACCTCTCCACACCTTGAACTTCAGGCTCCACTACGGGCAACCATATCAATATCGGACTACCGTACCATTCCTGAAACACCGCGATATGTTTAACATCATCAAAACTCCCTGTCTCTCCTTCGTTCAATTTTTTATCATTTTCTATCAATTGAGAAGTTATTTCCTACACGCTTGTTTATTAATAATCATTTTCTAATTATCAAATCTCCTTTTAAATGTAATATTTATCACACTTACAAAGAACTTGGGGATAGTGTCTGTAAAGTTCTCCACTGGTTTAGAAGTTAAGCAATTCAGCATCGCGTCCGTGGTATTGGTCGGACAGTTCAGTAGCTCGGCTTGCTGCTTCGCCACGTGCAATTGCTCGGTCGGGTATGGTTCTAACGTCGTCGAACCGCTCATCATGATTGCGCGATGGAACAATCCCTTGGACATCGGCGAAACCATGTGCAGCAGCACGCTATATCCACCGACGCTGTACCCGGATATCGTAACGCTGTCAGGATCGCCGCCGAAGGCGGCTATGTTCCTCTTGACCCATCGAAGCGCCAGGACTTGGTCCTTCAAACCTAAATTGCCTGGTGCCTTCGAGTCGCCAGTGCTTAGAAAACCTAGGCACAATATTTTTTTTTTTTTTTAGAGAAATGTTTTATTATCTTTAAACCATTATCTTTAAACCCGATGCAATGCTTTGATACTAAATTAGGTTTGACTTGGATATTTCCGTTCAAGAGGAAAATTTATCGTTTATGATTTAAATGACCTAAGGAGTAATTAAATGTTCAGGGATTTACCTAGAGTCGCGAGACGATAATTAACGGTGACAAGAACGATATCTTTGTCCAGCAAGTATTCAGGCCCAAAGAAGTAACTTTGTCCTGAAAATAGATAGAAAGCACCAGGATGGAAGAACACCAACACGGGCCTCTTTACGGAATCATTCGCCGAAGGTAACTGCGACCGAGATATTGTTGAATTAGTAACTTTGTTCTTTTCAACGAGATCACGTGTTAATAAAGCTCACTTTAGTCGTGTAGACATTCACACGAAGGCAATCCTCCATTATATTCTGTACTCCTATTGCTGGACAAGCGGGTCCCTCTGAGGATGCATCAAAGACATCATTCCAGTCTGCCGCTGGAACAGCAACCTATGAATAATGAAATGGTAAAAAATAACATTTATATTATGCAAGGCCTTGTCCTGTAAAAAACCTCGTTTTATTTTTGATACAAATATTTCATTGCGCTAAAATTATTACGGAATAATGTTTGCATTGAGTTTTGTGGATAGAATTTTAACGTATTTTAATAAACATTGTTTGTTGCAATGTAATGTTGAAATAATATATAATGAAACGCAAGTTACAATATAAATTATAATGTGAAACTGAAATATATCGCACATATTATTTTGCAATATTGCAAGTAATATAACAGAATATTATTATATTACAATGTAATATTGTTATATTTCTTCGCCTCTATATGTTGAAATCACATTCAACTATCTCATTTAACTTTTCAACGTGAAACCTACAAAGAACGAATAATAATATAACATCTGTAAAATATATCCATTTTTTGTTAATTTAATTTCTAATACAAACACAATAAAGGATTTAAATTATTTGAAATTGGATGGGTAAATGAACAGATTTAAAATTTGAGAGGTACATGAGAAATTGTTCATTTATTTATTTATTTGAAGTAAAAAATCGAAACTACTATAAATTTCAAATTTTATAAATTAAATACAAATATTTTTACAAATAATTTTATTAATTTAATATTACCAACTGTATCCAAATAATCTATAAAAGATATCTAAAAATCGATTTAAAGTCATCTTATAGTTCTTTAGATGTCTTTAAGATATTTTTTTCATCTCTTTATATTATCTGGATATACATATAATCAATTTTATATATATAAATTTTTTAATTAAAATTTTTTAAATAAAATATAACTATAATGTTAGAACGTTATGTTATATATATATATATATATATATATATATATATATATAACATATATATATATACATATATATTATATTACATGTTATATTTCTGAATGGAAAATTACAATTAATCGATAACTTAGCAATAACATTTATTTATATTACTTGTAACATTCCCGTTTTATTGTTTTCACTTCATATTAATATAATATTGTTTATTGGATACTAAAAATTGTATGAAAAAACTTTAGTGTATCGTTATTATCTCTCAAAATAATTAATTATACCTGAAAACGTCGTTGTCCCGTCGGTGGCTCGGCATATCTCACACCTCGGAAGGAATAGATTTTCTTGCCGAGTCTGGAAGTCAGGATGGAACCGCGAATTCGTCCGGTTGGTGCGATCACCTCAGGATCGCTGGCGAACGCCAGGACGACGCTCAGAAGAGCAAGGAATAGACGTTTCATGACGAGAGCTCGTATGCACTCGAGCTTAACACGAGAGTTGATTTCTTATATGAATTTAGTTAGATATGTAAGTTGCACCAGAGAATATTAAAAAACGTCGCAAGGACGATGGCTTTTTATATCCATCGCTAGGAGGAAGAATTACAATTCCCGGGAAACCCAGGCGTGTCATGTAGAAATTTATTTCTTAAAATATACGAAGAGATTTATGTAAGATCACGCTCGTGTGGTTTTGTAATTTAAATATGTACGTGCATAGGATTTTTGATTCAAGATGAGACAATGCGTGAACGTATTATTATTTTTTTGACAGAACCCAATTAACATACCCTCGTCATTTTGACGTCCGAAATTAGTTATTTTTAATTTGTTAATATCATGCAACCAAAAAGATACTATTATATGACATTTCAATCACCAAATAATCACATTTCTCGTCATTTTGTGAACATATTCACGTATATATATATATATATATATATATATATATATTTATCTATTTTACATTAATTCTTATATTTTGAATTATTATTTTAGTAGATTCGATTTTGAAATAAGCATACTAATTTTATCTTTTATAGCATGATCAAAATAAAAAAGTTTTTGTCGTTTTATGAAAATTAATGACTTTATATTAATATAATATTATACTATATATATATATATATATATATATATATATATATGTATATATTATGTATATAAAATGCAGACAAGATAAACACGCACACATAACAAAGAGCTTGCACATTTGCAATTGTTTTTCGATTATCGTGTTGTGTGATGCTTTGTATTATATTTTAATAATTATGTAAATAAATATTTGCAAAGTAAGAAAGATAAAATTATGTAATTTTATGTTTTATATTAGTTTATAGGCAATATTTTTCCTTATGACTTATTGAGGTATGGAATTTTAAAATAATGCTAATAATGAGGATAATGATAAAATAACCATTATTCATTTAAAATGATTTACTCTCAAGGAAAGATGTTCTGTGGCCTTTATATATGTAAAATAACATCATGCTCCAACAAAGCTCTTACATTAGGAGAAGAACCTAATAAAATTCGGCAAGTGTATTTTGTAAAACGCAAATTCTTTGAATTGTGTTGCTTCAAAAAATCTAATTATATGCTTTACAAAAATATTCATAGCCGTTTAATAAATATATATATTTATTGAAAACTTGATCAATTATGTATCTAATGTAAAGTATATCATATTGTTATATTCTTCGAATTAAACATATAATTGATTTATTTTTCTGTGTATTTGCATTGTACAAGTTTGTCTGAATAGGTTCATTTCCTTCAAGCAAGGAAATATAAGAAAAATAAAAATACTTTAGAATTATATTAACGAATTTTTTTATTTTTTAATACTGCTAATTGGTTTAAAAGTCTTGTGTCACTATGGATTATTATTAACGTACAACTTAATTATAATTAATTATATTTAATTATACTTAATTATACTTAATTATAGTTTACTCGTATGATTGTGATTTAATAATTCGTGTACGTACATCTCGTTACGTTTATATCGATCTAGAATTTGGCTCGAGTGCGCACGTTCTTATAATCTATAATTACAAACAATGAGATTATTTATAATTGCAAATGTCGCTTTGTCATCAAGTAAAATTTTTATGACTGTATATTTGTTTATTATGTATTATATGTGCTATTCCTGAACTTAATTCTTCAAACCATACGCTTCCTTGATCGACAATGTATCTCATAATATATATGCCTGGAGAGATATATGTGATAGTTATATAAATCAAATGATTGACAAGTAATATTAAATTAAAACAAATACAAAGATATACATCACATTTATTAATATTAATTTTATTTGAAACAACAATGAGTTTGATGTAATCTATGTCTATATCCTAAAAAATTCTTGAAGTATAAAGCCATTTTTTCAATTGTTCTTTAATTATATTAAAAGCAAAAGAATATTAAAAGCGTCTGATATAAAACAGCAAAGGATTCTATATTTTTTGCAAAGATATATTATTATTTATTTCTCATAATCCGTGCCTTTTGGCTTTGGATGGAACTTGATTCACAAAATATCTCCTAACTTCATTCACTCATCCATCCATACTTCTAAATTATTCTAAATTATCCTAATTAATCCTAAATTATCCTGTTCTACTTTTCGTTCCTCATTTGCTCTTTTTCTCTTCTTTATTCTCTGTCGTTGCATTCTCTTACACTTTTCTGTTTGCAAATCCTTATTACTTTTTCTCCTGTTTTTGTTGTTTTCTAGTCTTTCCTCTTCCTCTATACTTCGTTTGCTGTCCTTTTACTACTTAATTCCCATTATTCTATTCTCTATTCCTATTCTATTTTTTTGGTTTCATTTTATTTCTTTCCTCTTCTTCTGTAGGCTCTTTCATTCCGTTCTTAATTTTTTCTTCTACGTATTTCTTCTGTATACTTCTCCTTTTCCACTTTTCGCCTTTTTTTATAATTTCTTTGTCGCTCTTTCTACGTGATGGTATCTGTTGCAATTTATACATTAATATTTAATTATAACTTATTTAATAGCAAATCACGACTTCATTGCGATCACAATATATTTTGTATTGAAAAAGAAAAACAAGTTTTGCAAGTATTACAGCTTGAAGAAACATCTTTTTATTAGAAAAAAGAAATTTTTATAAACATGATATATATAATAATTAATATATATAATTGTTTGCATTTATTTGAGTAATAGGTTCGATATATATAAACATCTTTTGCGTAATCCTAGCGATCAACGTATTTATTATACTTTATGATATTGGTTTTAGATATTAAACCGATTACGATATCGGATTCAAAGGAAATAGGCTATCCCATTTTTGCATTCTATCAGCAAAAAGTCTCGTCTTCATTGTTGGTGTCTCAGAAATTTCTAAGTAGTTGTCGGTTGTTAACGAGTATGGATCCCACGTGACGTTGTTCGCCAAAGTCGGCGGTACTGGCTGTCCAGTTTTAGCAAAGTTCGACCACATACTTGTCATAAGTTCCACCGTTGGTATTTCCGGAGCATCCTTCTCGAAAAAGGGAAATTTGGCCTTTATAAAGAATAGGTATTGCAAATCGTCATGGTGCAACACTCCTAAAATGATCAAGCAAACAACAGATTAGCGGGAAGTTTATTCAGATGAAGATTCCTTTATTTCAGATGATGTGAAATAAATTTTTACAACAATCGAAAAATAAGTAATATAAAAATAAAAGTCATACCGTATGGCGCGGTTTCGTTCCACATAACAAAACTGTATCGTCCTTGATAAGCAGATACGTAAAAATAGATTGGTTGATCAGTATTCTCTGCGAATACCTTTACAGCGCGATGCAATGGAAATATAATTAGACCATCGGCTCTCATCTGGAACAGAATTATTCAAGTATAATGGCGTGATTAATTTTATTCGCGCTACTGTATCGATACTTTGTAATATTTAACATCTCAAAAATCGACTAGTAATTAATATATTTAATTATTTTAATATTTATGTTTCTGTACATAATATTTTTCAGAGTAATTTTTACGAACATGTGCGAGACCGTCATAAGTGTCCGGACCGATCGATTGGTTACCAAAGTAAAATTGATATAATTCGGTGCTTATGTTTCTGGAACGAGGTGTATCCCGTTCGTAATAGAAACTCATGGGTGTGAGTCTGTACCAATCATTGTTTAAGTCATTTATGATCGAATTGTCTCCGCGTCTGCGCTGCTCTTCAATGGCTGAAATCGAACGTAAAATGTATTAGCACATTATCATATAATTTTAATATAATATATTTAATATAATATATATTTAATATAATATAATTTCATATAATTTAAATAATTATTTTTAATTAAATCGAAACTAAATTTTTACCGACGACTATGCCTCCGAACTCGTCCTTGGTGACTCCTGCCATTAGTGGAACCTTGTGGAACTTTCCTTTTCTAATAAGATCAAAGGGCTGTTCGGGCAAGAACCTTTCCACACCTTGAACTTCAGGTTCTACTACGGGCATCCATATCAATATCGGATTACCGTTCCATTCCTGAAACACCGCGATGTTTGACATCATCAAGACTCTCTGTCTCTCCTTCATTCAATTTTTTATCATTTTCTATCCCTTGAGAAGTTTCTTACATGCTTGTTAATTAATAATCATCATTTCTAATTATTAAATCTCGTTTTAAATGTAACATTTGTCACACTCACAAAGAACTTGGTTATAGTGTCTGTAAAGTTCTCCACTGGTTTAGAAGTCAAGCAGGCCAGCATGGCGTCTGTGGTGTTGGTCGGACAATTCAGAAGCTCAGCTTGTTTTTTAGCCAAATTTAATTGGTGGGTCGGGTACGGTTCCAATGCCGTCGCGCCACTCATCATGATTGCGCGATGGAACAATCCCTTGGACATCGGGGAAACCATGTGCAACAGCACGCTGAATCCACCAATACTATACCCGGATATCGTAACGCAGTCAGGATCGCCACCGAAGGCGGCTATGTTCCTCTTGACCCATCGAAGCGCCAGGACTTGGTCCTTCAAACCCAAATTGCCTGGTGCCTTCGAGTCGCCAGTGCTTAGAAAACCTAGACACAATATGTTTTTTTTTTTAGAGAGTTTCATTATCTTTAAAACCATTAACGATGAAATGCTTTGATACCAAATTAGGTTTGATTTGAATATTTCCATTCAAGCTTTAAGGAGAAAATTTATCGTTTATGATTTAAATGATCTAAGGAGTAATTAAATGTTCGGGGATTTACCTAGACTCGCTTGACGATTATTAACGGTGACAAGAACGATATCTTTGTCCAGCAAGTATTCAGGCCCAAAGAAGTAACTTTGTCCTGAGAATAGATAGAAAGCACCAGGATGGAAGAATACCAACACGGGCCTCTTTACGGGCTCGTTCGCCGAAGGTAACTGCGATCGAGATATTGTTTAATTAGTAACTTTGTTCTTTTCAACGAGATCATGTGTTAGTAAAGCTCACTTTAGTCGTGTAGACATTCACACGAAGACAATCCTCCATTATATACTGTACTCCTATTGCTGGACAAGCGGGTCCTTCCGAGGATGCATCAAAGACATCATTCCAGTCTGCCGCTGGAATCGCAACCTATGAAAAATGAAATGGTAAAAAATGACATTTATATATTGCAAGGCCTTGTCTTGTAAAAACCTCGTTTTATTCTTGATACAAGTATTTCATTGCGCTAAAATTATTGTGGAATAATTTTTGCATTGAGTTTCGTGAATGGGATTTTAACGTATTTTAGTAAACATTGTTTGTTACAATGTAATGTGGAAATAATATAACGCAAGTTATGATATAAGTTATGATGTGAAACTAAAATATATCGCACATATCATAATATTGTTATATTTTTTTGCTTGTCTTATGTTGAAATCAAATTTAATAATTAATAACTTATCGGTAATATTTATTTATATTACTTGTAACATTCCCGTTTTATTGTTTTCACTTAACATTAATATAATAATGTGTATTGAATACTAAAAATTATATAACAAAACTTTAGTATATCGTCATTATTTCTCATCTAATATAATTGCTTTACCTGGAAACGTCGCTCTCCGGTTGGTGGCTCGGCATATCTCACACCTCGGAAGGAATAAATTTTTTTGCCGAGTCTGGAGGTCAGGATGGAACCGCGAATTCGCCCAGTTGGTGCGGTCACCTCAGGATCTCCGCTGGCGAACGCCAGGACGACGCTCAGAAGAGCAACAAATAGAAGTTTCATGACAAGAGGAGCTCGTATGCACTCGAGCTTAACAGCGAGAACTAGTTTCTCATATGAATCCAGTTAGATACTTATACGTACGTTGCACGAGCGAGTATTAAAAAGCGTCTCAAGGGCGATGGCCTTTTATATCCAATCGCTAGGAGGAAGAGCTACACAATTGCTGGGAAACCCCAGCGTGTCACGCAGAAATTTATTTCTTCAAATATACGAAGAGATGTATGTAAGATCACGCATATGCGATTTTGTAATTTAAATACTCATGTGCACGGGATTTTTGATTCAAGACGAGACTACGCGTGAACGTCACTATTTTGACAGGAGGCATTTGACATATCTGAAGCGCGAGTCTTACGAAAACTGCATTACTTGCAATGGTCGCGGTTTATATTTTCGTTTCTCTTCGATAGATTTTTTCATTGTCATATCGCTAACATACAAACTGATTACGAGTAGTGATGTAAGTCATTACTTTTCTCGTTATGAGGAAAACACGAGGTTTGCTGTAGAAAAGATATCAAGAATGCGTGAAATCCAGTTTCTTTCATGCGGCAATTTTTTCATGATTTTGTAGAAAGAGAAAGAATCTTATCTTAATAATAAAAATTAAAAAAATAAAATGATAACGATTATTAAACGACGAAAATAAATAAATGCTGAGGCGCGGTAATTGAAAAATATTGATAATAGAGAATATCGATTAATAACAAATAAATTATATTAAAAATTTGGAATCGCAAAATATAATTTTAAATACTTCATATGTTAATATAATTAATATTAATATTAATATAATTTTATGTGTTATTATTCGATATTATTTTAACATAATTATTGTTACGCTCCATACTTTGTGTATGTTTTAACGAAATTGAATTTTTGAGATATATTAATCAAAAAAATTTTTTCCTTGCATTCTACTTATCGCGCCTCTTAATTATCTCAATTTTATCACTTGATAATTTATATATTTTACATTTCATAGAAAAGATTCAAATATTATTTACACTCAAAAAGTCATTTGTAAAGTTTTATCATTTTTCTTTAATTATATTGTTCAGACACATCTTTATAAATGTTTTTCTAAATCTTTTTTACGTTCTTTAAAAGTGTAAAAGTAACGCTGAGAAATTATTTCGAATATTCCTTGTTATAAGCTATTTTTTTTTGGATTCTTTTAAGTCGCGTCTGATTTCGGTCATGTAAGTTTTAGTGCCATGACCGTAGTTTTCATCAAAATTCGCCGGATATTCATTGCCACGAGCTTGTCTCTTCGGCTTTGCAAGTTCACGCAATCGTTTGGGGCAACGTCTATTATTCGTAGCGGCGATACGGGCATAAGTATCAAGAAGAAGCGCCTTTTTATCAGACTGATAGAATGACCCTGAGACTTGTTTACTATCCACAATTTTTAATTTACGGGTCTGACTTTTATCTAAAAATTTGACACATGCTTACACAGTTGCGATGCTGAAAAATCGCAAGTCGCAGAACGAAATCAATTTAAAACTGATACAGATAAATGAATAAATCAATGAATTATCATGATGTATATTTTTGTCTTTAGATATATAAATATATTGAAACTATTCATTAGATTTCACCTGGACTGATATTTTTTGTAGACGAAGACGAGGTATAAGACGTAGGCTCTAAATTAGAATTCAATTTCCGGTCATTAGATTGATTCAAGTTGTCGAGTATTATTTGACGAGCATCAGATATTCCTGAAGTCACCTGAAAAATCATGTAGTCATGTAAAAATCTTAACGTTATTTTTTGCATATATATCAAAATATCCCACAGAGTTATAATAAAGTTACCTGCAGATCGTCGGTATTATTACGCTTATAAATCTGTGTTTTTCTTAGATTTTCGCGTTTAAACGTGTGATTTTTCACTGGTTGAATGTCACTATTCATATCGCAATTGCGGGGACTATATCTCTTTCTTTAATAGCAAACTGTTTCTTTTTTCTAATTAATAGGAATGTCTTCAAATTTCAATTAAAATTATATTATTCGAATTATTAGATTAAGAATATTTTGTTAACTTTGGAAATTTTGATTCAGATTGAAGGTTTGACATGAATTTTTGAAAGCCAAAGCAATAATCTTTTTTTCTCGTTCGTTATTCAATTGTAATTTCGATCTTTCCTATTATCGTATGCACGTCGATTTATTTTCAGCGCTTTTCTAGGAAAAGAATTGCTTACTTGTTTTTATTTTTTTTATTTTTTTTTATTACGCAAAATATGAAATAATAAAAATGTGCATTGGAGACTTTATAAAGATTTATTTCTATAAAAATGTTAATGTGTGTGGACGGTATATAAAATATACAATATATATATATCAAATTATTAAATATACAATGATCCTTAAGATTAACAGATCGTTAAATTTCTCTATTTGGACGGAAACATTTAGAGATAAGGTTCCGTTGAACGGACGCAAAGGCAGCCATGAAATTTATTAATATATCTAACTCTACCTCTTAGCCATTTGTACTGTTAAATAGACGTGTAAAATATTTATAAAATGATATTCAGAATAAATTTATCCATATAAATTTACGTTGTAACGATAAAATATACATTTGACAATAATAAAATTCTATCCTATCAAATCTCTGTTTTTTTTTGTAATCTTTCAATGTAAATTATTCATATAAAAGTAAGTAAATCATATCGCTTTTTTTAGAAGGTCCCATCATCCAACTATTCGATACTTCCTGGGATCCGTTCTCGTATTGCTTCGAAAGAAGATGTTAAATCGTATTGCTATAGTGACACTTATCTACCGAATGTGAAAGTGAATGCTATCATAATTATCGTAGCAAGCAATGAGTAGCTTATGGCTGACGCGCCAGCGTTACAATCCACAATTCTCCTAGCTCTCATAAAATCTGGCCCGAGGTACATACTATATTCTCGCTTCTCCGGCGGTATGATTATTAACTGTTGAGTGGCGTCCTGAAAAATGAGATCGCTGTAAGGGGGCGGGCTGTAGAACATGCTGAAGCTGAACTCGTCCTGCTCTTTTCGGCCGTAAAACTGTTGCGCGTATATGAACAGATTTATATAAGCGTTAATCTGCGTCTCGTTGTAGCCGTAACCGCCACGCGTGACTATAGCGTTAGCGGCGACCTTGCCCATGTTACAGTTCTCGTAATCTTTAGTCGGCCGGCGCGTGCCGTCTGGACAGAGCAACTCGAAGTCCTTGGTGAAGGTGTTGCGCGCCCAAAATTCCCTGCGCTTGCCGTCAGTGTTCTCCGCGACTGTCGTGTGTTTGACAAAAGCTACATCTCCGCCGCCTTCCACCAGACACCTGAAGGCGCCCGTGTATCCGAAATAATCCTCGGAGGCGTCTCTTCGGCAATACCGATAGCTGACTCCGTGACATAAATCGCACATATTATCGTAAGGCACGCCTGCAATCAGATGAAAGGAGTTCTGTAAATATAACCGTCCTATGGATTATTTCATCTTTATTACATTGGAATCTTCTCAAGAGTGGACCATATTGAGCTCTGATATATTCTAACGAGTTATCTCATCCTTATAAAATTCAAGTCTGTAGAAAATAGCGTTTCATATAATAGTTACTCATGAAACTTGCATGAACATGTCTTTTCTATATCGCTGGGAAAGTATTTTACCATAATTGTTGAGTGACTGAGACTCCACCTTTATTCATGTTCATTCAACAGCATTACTTAGCGCATGGAAAGAATGCGATATACTTGTTAGAGATGTATTTTTGAGAGATTCCAATGCAGTTAATTTTGGAATAATTTTCGGCTAATTTAGAAAAATTATTAATTTTGTTGTATTTTTTGCATTACCTATATTATACTCGGTACTAAGTGCGCCTGGCACGCAGGATTTACTGAAGTATTCAGCGGCGGCGCGTACAGAATCGCAACCGTAGCCCCTGATCCATTTATTAGAGATAAGGTAGGCCAGTGGATAGACCCAGCCCGCGGCGGTGTTAATCCCGGTGTGACAAGTATATTTATTTTTCAGATACGTCAGATCTGTGCTATCGTCCTCTTCTTTAGCGACGGCGACGACGTAATAGTCCGGTGTGCCAAGATTATACACCTCGGATATAAACGGGATCAGATTGAAACGTAATCCAGCGGTATAAACATCGCTGGCGTCCAATATAGCTACATCAGCAATCCTATCGTGAAAAAAAAGAGAGTATACATGTATTTTCATCGAGAAACATATATGCACGTGTATGTACATTTAAACATATTTTTACACGTACCCGTTTTGTATCAATTGCATACAATTGATTTGGCTGTGGCCTTTATGACAGAGTAATTCTGGCTTCAGCAGCTGAGCTTTTAAAGCAATCTGTGATAAACATATGAAGAATGTCAAAATTCAGCGCATTTAAATAAGCAATTTTTAAAATAAATATGAATAGTTTTTGTGCATCAAATATATATGAATAGTACCTTCATTTTCACACATTTCTCCATTTCCGGGTCGGACGTAACGCATAACGACATTCGATTTACAGGGCAATGGCGCACTCCTAATATATGATCTATGGATCTTCCCAAATATCCCGTATATGTTTGATCTTTCTCAGGGAGTTGTATGAAATCGCGAGCGGAATCCTGAAAGAATGGAACGCGTTAAATCAAGGATAAATGTAACAATAAGAAATAAATATCACTTGATTCGTTTTGATCGGAAAAAGAATGTATATATATACATGATTACTTTTTTAGACAGGGCTCCTCTTTCGGTAATTAACTCAATTCGCGATTTAGATGTAATTTTTTTGCGCTAATCTGTATCCTTTAAAAAATATATCAAAATTGTTTATTTAAAAAATTTAAATTTGTTATGCTGTCTTGTAAATATTTATGAAAATATTTTTACTTTTTAAAATTACTTGTTAAAGCACAGGCTGGAATATGCCATCATAATATAGGCTCTGTACCAAGTTAAATATTATGCATTAATTGAGAGGATCCAATATTTATTCCTTTCATAGAGTTAATTTTCTTATAAAGATTATTCTGATTGTTTTATTCTGATTATATGTATGATTTCATGTTAAAAAGCTAATAACACTGAAAAATTTTTTAAACTTAGTGTTCTTTAAATTGATTAGTAAATGTATTATTTGTTGTTCTAATTTATTAATTCATACAAGACATATATTCCAGCCAGGCTTAATTAGAAACAATAATTTTTTTATCAGGATTATATTAAATCTTCTATGGTAAATTCAAGCCTCTAAATCGAGTATGCTTAATGACAAACGAATTTTTTGATCGCATAGATTTCTTTCATATCTCTTAGCTCTTTTAAATATTTATTATCTCATTATTTCCGTTAGATTCTTCCGAGTCTTTACTGATGTAAGTAATTTGTAATCATGATTATTTGTGCTAAAAGGTTGAATTTTTTCTGTTTAAACACGTAACTTACTGAAAATATTAAATTATGTTTCATTCCATATCTAGGTGCCGACTCGTACAAATCGAACACTTCTATCGGCTGTACAGTAGATTCGGTGTGATCTCTATAATCGAACGTATCATTAATTGGAGATTTCTCCCACGAGTTGAATCCATTGTTGCCACTGAAACTTCGATCGTATCCATTGCGATCCCAATTGTCCGTGTTATATTCGTTCGGATTGTTAACGCCGTTCCTATTAAAATCGTCCTCCCCAAATCTGTTATTGTCCGGACGACTTTCATAATTCCTCTGGTTATCGTTAAAACGATTCAAGTTCGTCGTGTTATTTCTGTTATTGTGGAATATTCGAGCCGCTTTCTCCAGAAATTTTTGGTACATTCGACGAATCTCGAAATTCGTCGCCGAAGATGTGACTATCGCGCGTGATGGCACGGTACCCCAATTACAGGTCCTGTACTCGTCCACGGATCTGCGAGTACCGTCCTTGCAGAGAAGTTCGAATTGCTCCTTCTTAACGGAAACTAATAACAAAAATTGAATACTTTAAATATCTCATCATCTTCACTCTCCTACAGATTTAATTCATTAGGTAGCGACTGCGTACTAAAGTCAAATGTCGTTGAAGTCATCTCGTGTACAGTCGTGTGCACCAGGAAGGCAATTTCGCCTGCTTCGACCAAACATCGAAAAGCCCCCTCATATCCTGCATAAGGATCTTGATAAGTGCATTTGCCACCAGGTACCTTTCCAATGCACAAGCTACACAAATGATCAGAATTATCACCTGTAATTGATTCGTGAGAGATTATAACAATTATAACATCAAAATATACCTATATATTTCATTATTATAAACTTACCAAGCGGATTATATTTGTCAATTAAAGAGTGTATTGCACAGCTAGGACCAAAATATTTAATTGTCGACTTTACATGATTGTTACAATCAATAACTTCCATTCCCCCATGTTGCATAAGCTGAATAAGATATTTTTTTATTATATTTTGTTATTTTTATATAAATATTTATATAAGAAAAATTATATATATATTTTTATTTATTTATTTATACATGGATATTGTAATTATTTATAAAAATTATTTATTAATTATATTATGTATATTGTAATTATTTATAAAAAAATCATAAATTTTACTCACAGTATTAATTGGAATAACCCAACCCGCTAATGTTCCGACGCCAGCAAAGCAGGCCTTCCTGTGTCTAAGATCATGTAAACTTTGTACATCTGACAGAGATCCTTTCTTAATCACTGCAACAGCATATTGATAATTCACATGGTTTTCATGTATCTCCTGCATTATTGGTACAAGACTATGGTATCGTCCAGCTACAAAGACCTCTCCGGCATCTAATGTTGTTATCTGGGCCTTTTCATGATCTAGCATAGCCATACATTCTTCCTTGTTGAATGCTTGCTTGCATTGTATCGAAAAGTAGCTAAAGCCAAAGGACGCTATCTCCCGATCAATCGCCCTGGAAAAGGCTTTGCACTTATTCTGTTCACCTTCGGAAACTGTACACCATATGACTGTGTTGTTGAGTCTTTCTTGTTGCCTATATCGCTGGCCTGTTGAAAATTAATTAATAATAATCATTAATTATGTTTAACATGCTATATGTATTTTATACAATTTTGTTTTGTGTTTTATCAATATTATAAGTTTCAACTTATTTGTTATGATTTTGATGGTGCAAATAAAATAATTGATCAGCAACAATCAGCAGCCAAGCAAATATCTAAATCAATTGAAGAGCAATATTATTTGTAGTTAAAATTACATTGTAATTCAAAATAATGTTTCTTTGGTATAATCATTTTGGAAATAACTGAAATTTACTCTTGCAGAGGAAGAAGCTCTCATAAATGTTTGCAATTTAACGTGTGTTGTGATGCAAAACAAAGTTTTATAAGATGACTTTAAGTTATTAATTTGAATAAAAATGTGCAGTCATACCATAAATATGAGGCAAAACAAAACTGCACAAAGATATTAGTATCACGTAGTGTCCCAGCCCCATTTTCCCTTCAAATATCTCTTTACAGTCAGTTGATCACGGACAACACCCTGACATGACTACTCCAAATTATAACCGAACTACACCCAACAGAGAATAGTACAACGCGTGACGTCATCCATTCCTTAAACGAGGATAGAATGAGCAAATAGGACGTTTTGGTGTGTTCGTATATTCTCCTCGCATAGCATATACCGAGTGTCCTATAAATATCTAATCGCATAATGATAAAAAGGAGGGAAAACAATCCTTTTGACAATTTTGATCGTCAACATGCATATTTTTTTTAATCATACAGACAAATTTGTTTTATTTTTTAGAATCAATCAAATACCGGAAATAACACGGAAGTGCAAAATTAATGGAATTATTTTTCAAGGAAACGTGTTGACTTGTAAGGGATATATTAGTACTAATTTTTTTCCCACAAAGGTTGAGATTAAATATAAAACATAATTAATATAATGTAATATATAATATATAATATATAATACTATATAATACTATATAATATATAATAATATATAATATATGTATAATATAATATATAATATATAATTAATATAATATAATTAATATAAAAAACGAAAATATATGTAATATATAAGTATATTGTAATATTTATAACTTACATATTAAATATGCAAATAATTTTAATAATAATCTATATAAATTTTATAAATTTTCTTATTTTCCAATCATTTGATAAATGCTATCTTTATATTAATGCATTATTAAGAAAAGCTGCATTTTAATAGATCAAATATCTTTTTAAAATTAATCAAAGTCGGACAACACCTTAGGCACGACTATTCCGGATTGCAATCAAACTACAATACAAAGAATAGTACTGTAACGTAATACATTCATTAAACAAGAATAGAATAATCAATACGAGATATTAAAGCACAAATTCATGTGGCGCTCGACGCTCGTTTTCAGCATCATGACGAAAAAATGACGAATTGATATCTTTTATTTTTAGTCGCGTGATGTCTTTTATACTAAAAATGAGCGTCAGTATGAAAAGCGCCTTTAAGCGGCCTTTTCATTGACGCTAAAAAGTAGCGTCAACCATTGGTTGAACAAAGAAGCAACTACTTACTTCTTTGTTCAACCAATGGTTGACGCTACTTTTTAGCGTCAATGAAATTGCACCTTTACAGTTTGTTCGTATATTGCTGTATATATAGCATATTATACACCGAGTGTCCTATGAATATCTATATCGCACAATAATAAAAAGAAAATTCTTTCAACAATTTCGATCGTAAAAAAAATTTTGCAATTAAAGGTGATGCATCAAATGTGACAGTATAGAATTGATAGCAATTATATCGACTCTAGTTGCAAGATTAGAGAATCTAAGGCACTAATCATATCACTTCAAAAAGATAGCAAATAAATTGAATTTTATGATAATCATAGTGATAATTTAAAACAAAGATTTGTATCATAAATATTATTACACAAATTATAAATCAACTTCAGATAGTGTATTATACATATAAAGATCCTGTGATTAGCGCTATATGATTTGGAGTACCTAATTATTATTGCTACGTGTCCCCCATGAAATTCGATTTTATCTGAAATAAAATGTATCTAGAAAAATACTTTATATAATTATTAAATGTATATATATATATATATATATATATATATATATTTTACTAATAAAGAATTTTAATACCTAAATACGACTTTATCTGAAATAAAATACATAAATTCGATTTTATCTGAAATAAAATATATCTAGAAAAATACTTTATATAATTATTATATATATATATATATATATATATATATATATATATATTACTAATAAAGAACTTTAATATGACTTTTGCTACATATAAAGGACATAAATACGACTTTTGCTACATATAAAGGGATTAAGCAATTATATAAAGTTTATATATGTACTATATTATATATTATATATTATATATATATATTATATACATAAAATATAATATAAAATTATATAGAAAATAAATATTTACATATTATAATTTTTTAACATTTACAAGCTCGTGTAATGCAATAAAAATGTTGCATTATGACGAGTTTGTGTTTATATGTATTATAAATAAAATAATTTACAGAACTTTCAGTCGCTTTTTCCCTGTTTGTTTCTTCTTTTGTACCACTTGTTTGCAGCAAGCCTGAGCAATTCGTAATTCTCATACATCCACGACATAAGTACAATCATAAACATCATTATTCCAACGAATAGATGCAATATTTTTTCAGCTGGGAAGAAATAAGCCTATAAGAAAACAAATTTACATATAGAAAAACAAATTTACAATCAAAATAACTATAAATAGAAAATTAAAGCACGGAGATACTTTACGTGTGATAGATTAGTAATGAATGCCGCAATGAGTAGAGATGCCGAGAACAAAGGCTTCGGAACTAATCCGCGTAGAGGACGATATATTGTGTCTCGGTGTCTTTTATTGATGAACATCGCTGAATATATGATTCGTAGGCTCATATTTACGCAATTGCCAAAAATAAAACCGACCGGACCGAACCAAGTAGCGAACAGATACGATGCGCCCAGGAACGCGATAGACTCGTAGATCATGATGATGTTACTCTTGTTTATAGTCGCGCTGTCAGCTGTCGCGTTAGTGTAACACTCCGTCACGCCGTTAATTCCCAACAATAATATAGCAAGACAGTGCGCTCTTAGCAGAAGAACGGGTAGAGGTAAGGTCAATTTCGAGCCACCATATAGCCAGAGCAATGTGCTCGAATAGGACTGACCGAATACTAGAACAATCAGACCAATAGATGTAACGGTTGAACACAAATGTGTCAACACATTCACACTCTCTTGTATCTCCCCCTGAAAATATAGTTTGTACATACTTATTATAAATATATATATGTATTATTATCTTATAAAAATCATAACTCACTGGATTTTGATCGGATATTAACTTATCCCTCTTTACTGTCTGTGTGAAGTAAAAATATCCGCTCTCCTCGATTGGACGGAAAATAAATCTAGCAGCTAACGATCCCAAATTATTCACAATCTCATAAGTACCCTTAAAAAAAAAACAAAGAAAAGTTAGTATCTGTGATAATGATATATTGCAATACATGATTATCAATTTTTATAAACCTGTTCTGTGAATGTCAATACTGGCATTATAGTCATGATCAACCTCTCGCCTTCTGTCAGAATTTGCTTCAGTATCCCTTGCCTAAAGAAGCTCCATGTAAGAATAGTTAACTTTTTATCAAGATATGAGTCCTACGAAATAACTATTGTACTGTTCTTAAAGAATGATGATAACACAATTACATGTTTACATACATTATTTTCCAATTGGCCAGGTAAAAAGTCCTTCACTGTGTGAAAGGGAAACTCTCTTACCACGAACTCATCACTACTGCCTCTCAAGGACATTCTTCGTTTCTGCGTGCATTTATTCAATTTTGCAATGTGGTAGTGAAAATATACATAGTGACTAGTTGTATAAAATATTGCTGCAACGAGCTGAGCTATACCAAATGCGAGTAACGCATTTTCTGGATAATACAATATTAGTGGAACGAAAGTCATAGTGCGAATAGCAATCATAATTGTGTCCAGAATTATCTAGAAAAGATAGATATCACTAAAATGCTCTTTGCATTAATTACACATGTTTTTTTCTTTATCATCTTACTTTAAGCCTAACAAATAAAAATGCATTTGCGACTAATTGAACAATTAAGGAAGACAGTTCTATGATGCATGACAGACCGACTGCCCATACTGCAAACGTATAATACGGTGGTAACGCCTCTGCAGTAGAGAGCAAAAATAACCAAATGTATCCAAATAAGAAAGACATGACGAGACATATGGGTACCCTAAAAAAAAAACGTTAATTAATTTGTATAATTAATTTGTATAATTGAAAATAATTAATATACATGTGGTGAACAAGAAACTAACGTCAGCCAGAGTAAATTTACAACTTGGGCCCAATTATGCTCCGCTGTATTAGTCAGACAGGCCTTCATGAATGGTTCTCTTGATAAAAACAATATCATAGATTCCAGTAACAATAATCTCACGTTAATGACACCTAAGATAGCTTGACCCACATGTCGGACGACAAACGCATTCAAGAGAAACGTGATACAGCGACAGAATATCTGAAAGAAAAGTATCTTAATTCAAAATTTTATTACATAATACAATATTGCCACATGACCAGCGGCAGCTTAGCTTCAATATTGACAATTTCGAGAAAATTATTATTAAGATGAGGAGAGGGAAGAGATAGAAAATAGCACAAGTACAATAAAATCCTTGGAAAGGATCTGAAGGATTTCAGTGTGTAATTTGGCTAATAAAATAATAACATTGCAAAATAACTCTTCCAATACACCTTTCTCTGATGTACCTGAAATATAATGCTGAAGGAAGCATTCTCCAAGCTGCTCTTCAGGATATTCGGCCGCATTTTCAGGCTGATCTGACGGAAAGAGCATGAATATTTCGAGATTCCCGCCGGAGGACGAAACGTCAACGTAAGTAAGAGATGTCGGAGAAACCATAAGATCCAAAACTAGGCTCGTCGCTCATCTCTCCCCGATTTTATTTGCCGTATCGTCGTTCGCAGAAATTTTATTGCGACTTCAAAAAAGAAAAAAAGGGGGGAGGCAACAACTATTTCAGCTCATGCGATAACATAATAATAGCTAGCATCTCTAGTCGTTTGCGATCTCATGACTCTTGGTGCGAGAAGCGAATTAAAGAAAAATTGCTGTTTTTTCGTCCAACGTATAATAATTATTGGAGAAATTTAAAAATATTAAGTAATATTTTTTAAAATTCTCTGTAGCATCCAATTGTCACGTCCAACGTCGTTTTACGTTCGACGAATCACGTTCTTCGGGAAAACTGTCATCGTGTAACTTGATGAGTGTCGCGAATCACATCAGGTTAGGTCAGATTAGAACCTTGACTATAGTACTTATACTTGGGAGCCTGATTTCACTATAAGATATGCATCTCGTGTGTACACTAAATTTTGCCAGCACAACTATAACTACTACTATTATTATTATTTCTATTATTATTATTACTATTATTATTTCTATATTTTATTATATATATATATATATATATATATATATATAATAATTATATTTCCATATTATATTTATTACTATTATTATTATTATTATATTATATTATTACTATTATTACCCAGCAAACCCCAAGTAACATATTTATATAATTGTTAATTGTTTCCCACTCAACAATATAACTGTTACATGTTATGTAACAGTTACATAACATGTAACAGTTATATTGTTGAGTGGGAAATTATAACTAATAGTTATATAACTATTATTTGGTGTTTGTTGGGTATTATTATTACTATTATTATTGTGCCATTATTATTGCTATTATTATTGCTATTATTATTACTATTATTATTATCACTATTATTATTATTATTACTGTTAATTTTATTAGTCATTTTGGTTTAATTTAATTATCCAACTTTTGTCAATAGGAATTTTTTTATCATGCACTGAAATCAAATTATTCTAACTGAATATTCTAAATTAAAATTATCCAAATGACGTCATTATGTTTAAAATACATTATATCATTTGAACTGCAAGAATTATTAAAATTATACTTTTGGAAAAAAATAAATTATATAGATTAAAACTATAAGACTTTAAGTTCATCTTCTCTTTCTCTCTCTTTATTAAAAAAATACGAAAAAAGTTAAAATATCAAATATGTTTTTCTTGTAGAAAAAAAACAGGTTTTTCATTCTTAAAAACGCGCGCGCAAATCAAATTCGCTAATCAAATTCGGGCTATGTTCCGATTTGCACCATTTACACTGGATGGGGAAAATAAATATTGTGATAAAATCTATGATATATGTGACGTGGACTATAGATTTCCAGTAGTGGCAGTCAGTTCGTATCGGAACTCGGAACATACCCTTTTTAGTATGGCATCGGCCAGCACGTTGCGATGTGGTCTCGTGATATATTTGTCATGATCTGTCATGATTAATTCGCTGCCAGGCGCAACAAAATGTCATTCGTCGACTGGATTATCTGAAGAGGTCTTTCCGAGGAAGCTGACAAGATTCCCCTCGACGCGGCATGGCTCACTTGAATAATATATTGAAAGCAGTGGAAACGTTAAACGCTCTACGAGACTCTGATGTCTCGTCGGATCCCGGGGCGAGGTATGTAAATAATAAGCGTCCCATGACAGGGAACTGTCAATGTTGTCAATAGGAATTTTTTTATCATGCACCGAAATCAAATTATTCTGACTAAATTAAAATTATCCAAATTACGAACTCGACAAGAATAAATTTCTGTATCTCTGACAGGAAGGAGAAGACATCGTGTTGCACCATCATCGTTGAGGGGATATGTTCGCCAACTGTCAGACAGAATCCCAAGTTTCCACAAATTCTTGCCGCTACCATTGAAACATTGCTGGCTTTGTGCAATGACAGCGAGTCGAATGTCAGGATGGTCGCTGATGAATCTCTTAATAAAATTATAAGGGTATATTATACTTTTTTTCATAGCTACACAGAGAAAAATATTCTACTGCCAAGAAAAGTGATTACTCAATTTATTTTTCTTTTTTTAAGTAATAGTTTTCTTCAACAAAGAATATATTCTTGATAATAATCTTAAAATATACTCATCACAAGTGTTAGAAAATCTTATTATCATGTACTCAAAAGAAAAATTTATTTTCTCTTCAAGAATATTATAAAGTTGTATGAAAGAAAAATCAAACTTACTTTATGTCAACTCTTGTATTAAACAAACCAAAATTTTGTTTTAATTTAATATTCTTGACTAAAATACTGCACTTACTAAAATTCAGAATATATTCAATTAAATTTAATGCTTGTGGTAAACTTATGATATATTTGCGGATATACAAACTTATGATATACTTAAAATAAATAATATTTACTTGAATACAGTATACATTTTTCTCTGTGTAGAGATACCAAAATCAAAATGATCTATAGCGTATACGAATTCTTTCACTTAGAATGTGTACTATTCATTTTATTTACCAGGCAATGGTTGACAGTAACATCGTTAAGATCCAGATAGAGCTTTACAATGAAATAAAGAGAAACGGACCTGCGCGTATATTAAGAGCTGCTCTTTGGAGATTCGGCTTACTAAGTCATATGATACGTCCCTCGAGGGGCAAAGCTTATGTATCGAATCTGATACCGTGTATAGTAATCATTGCGCATAGATCTGAAGATATTGTGATTGAAACATTATCACAGTCGTTACCATTAATTTTTAAAGTGTTAGGACCTTTTATGACAGACAAGGATGTCAAGGTAAATGGCTTGATATTATTATAATTATGTTAAAATTACATATCATGAGTTTTAAAAATATTAAATCTATTTTAGAACTTGCTAAAAGTATTCTTTGAAAACATTTCCTCTCCTCAAGCAGCGTTTCGCAGAGCAGCGGCAAATATGATCTTGACAACGTGTATAAATTGTAGAAAGCCACAGTTCTTTCTAAATTATGTCTTAAATTATCTATTAGGTATGGTAAATACCTATAAATTGTTATATAAGTGTGCACAAAAACATTTATTTATTTAATTATTTATTTACTAAATTATTATTTTATTTTTATCACAGATATAATGATGTCAACGAGAAACGCCGAAGATTACCCATCTACTATCATAGGCGGATTTGGCTGTTTAAGAGTGATTTTACCATACATATGTAAACCCTTGGAGCCTCAAGATGTTGACATACAACAGATAGATAATCTATTACACATTTATGAATTATGTTTGCATTACACAAAATGGCACTCTGATCATAATGTTATAAATGCAGCTTTAGAGACACTGGCGCAACTTTTAAGAATGCCTCCAAAGCCATTGGTATCCGTTTTATTGTCTTCAGAAGGCATAACTCAAAGCAGGATAATAATAAATCAAAATGCATGCGCTCCTTCACTGGGTCAAATGAGTATTTCTAGTGGGAGTATCGCTTACGGCGGAAATTCCGATTCCATCTTAAACTTGATACACGAACCTGATGTTCCAGAGATTACTCCAAATATAGAAAAATGGATTGCAGATACGGAAACGAGTTTGCCAGCCGCGTGTAATCCGCAAACGCAAAATGAATGTGCAGCCAGCGATGCGGCAGAGATAAAAGAGAAGATATCGGAAAGTTATTGCGGTCTGAAAATCGGGACTATTAATAGTAAGAACAAGTAAACATAAACGTAACTCACATAATAATTTTACAAATACTAGCATTCCATGTTTTTTAGATGATGAAGTTGCGGAAGGAGGCAGCGATATCGAGAGCGAAATTGAAAAATCTGAGAGAACGCCGTATCCAAGCTTACAAAGTGAACGGTCGAAGGAGGAAGATTATTCCGAAGAGGCCACTCTGTCCTTTACCTCCCCAAAGAAATCTTCTTTGGACTTTGCATTATACGAAGCGGATATCGGAAGTTTTACAGACTCGGATATGCCTGTCAAATTCTGCTGCCGTTACCTGGTGTCGTCTTTCTTGCTGGCGGGGAAACCCGGGCATTTAGTATCGGACAAGTTGTTTCGTGTCAGCGTCAAGTCTCTCGCTTTAACATGCGTGGGTTACATCTTGAAGCTTTACCCGCATTTGTTTACAATGACTGTGGCCAAAGAGTCAAGCTGCAATGAGACAAATCAATTGATTGCAGACATTTTGCTGTTTGCCAATCATTCAGATCCCCAGATCAGGGGCAACGTAGCGATGATGATTGGAATCTTTTTGAAGTCTGTATTTGTCCAGTACGGCGGTTCCTTCCAGAATTTTGAAGCGGAATGTTCGATTCAGAAAGGACATAAAAGTACATCATTGGAAGATTTGATAAAGTTACTTTTAAATGTGAGTTTATACAGGGTGTATCTTAAAAAGCTCCCACTAAGCAAATAGCGTTATTCCTGATTAAAAACCGAGTCGAAAAGTCCTGAACTATTTTTTTTCCAAGATTCATTAAATAATTAATCAGATTTAAGTATTAAAAAGATTTCTGAAAAGATGAATTGTTTAAAAAGTAACACAAAACAATTTATTTTTTTGCTTATCCAAATCTTCATATGTTGACGAGGAAGTTTGTCTTTTTATTGGCGCGACTTTACTCATTAATTACTGCTGTATTAAGCATTATGGAAAAAAATGGTTCAGGACTTTTCGACTCGGCTTTTAATCATGAATAACGCTATTTGCTTAGTAGAAGCTTTTTAAGATACACCCTGTATATGATTTTCTCTGAGAAATTGAAACATCATTCTCTTGAATTGTTTAACTTGTTTAACTTTTAGGGCTTGAATGATGATTCTGCAACAACTTGCCGTCAAACACTGGATGCATTGAACCTCTGCTTGTCAGAGTTACTGGATTCCGTCAGCAATGAACATGCTCTTGCAATTCTGACTGTATTGCCAAAGCTTATAAAAAATCCATACTTTTTGGTAAAAGTAAAATTAGTTGACTTGTTGAGTAAACTGTCTTATATTACGATAGAACACATAACGGAGCAATCGTTATTCCAAGAGCACTTTATCGATGTTATAATAGCGTTATTAGGCGACCAAGACCAGAGGGTGAGACACGCCGCGTCGAATGCCATTGTTAAGTAAGACGTATTTACAAAATTTTATCACATTTTATGAATCACATAAATTTAAATCGATACTACTTTGTATTTTTTTTTTCAGGAGTATCCCTTGTTTATATTTCCGACATCCTCAAGAGGATACTGTTACGAGAAAAGCTACGCAATACACTCAGGAGTTTTTAAACACCGTAACATCAAGTATCTCGGAACTGTCGTCTTATCAAGATAAACATAAGCCATTCGTGAACACTTCTGTCAAGCCCTTTGTATTTCTGAATCACTATAACGACGTAAATTACGACTCCAGGGTGGAATATTCTCTCTCTCGTATAGTTAATATTTTAACGGAGATATTGACGGTGCATTCTTCGAAATATCTCATTTACGGATGCTGCGAAACCCTCTTCCGCTTGAGCGAGACTTACCCGACCACGGTTTACGCGAGAGGATGGGATTGTATTCTAACAAAGACACTACCGAAGAGATCTAAAAAGGGTAGCGACCGATCAGACACGAGCGACGTCAGTTTTGCGAATGAGATGATCTCGTCTCCAGTAAGCAACGGTCTCTTATCATTGACGTTGCCCTTGTTAACGTCATCGACCATTAGCTTGGATCTGTCCACCCATCGACATCTGATCCTTCTTGCCGGCAATCTAGCTTCCGGATTGGCCGTCTGCAATTTTAAATCCGGCAGTGATCCGACGAAACTGTGGAACATGTGCAAGGACAGGTACATGGAATTGCTATTAACGCACATCATGAGAGTTCTCAATATCTTCGTTCATGTCGTCGACGACGTGCAACTGGTACAGACCAGTACCAAGCCCGTATTTTCATCTTTATCGTCCACGCAAACGTTGTCGCCCAAAAGGAAAACTGTATCTGAGCAAAAATCGAAGGAGAGGGGAGAGAAGATCACCTTGCGAATCGGGAAAGAGCATATGGGGACGTTCATTGGTGTACCTCATTACATGAGAATATACGACATTCTGAAAGCGGCGCATTCTAATTATTTAGTCACTCTTCAGCACGAAGCCAGCGAAATGTACGTTTCTCTGTTGAACGCGATGCTGGACGTTCTCTCTCAGATCCTCGAGATCGCGTCTGTCACAGAGGCGGGTAAAATAGCGGAGGAGGTATTGTATTACCTGAAAACCACCGTCGTTTTGTCGCCAACGGCAACGGTTCGATGCGTCCAGCAGTTGTTGAAGTGTTTATTCGGTACAAACGTGTGCGCCCAATGGAGCGAGCTGGACGTACAAAAGAGTATGGATCGATGTGGTACGCTGCGAGATGACATCGGAGGCTTTTACAATCAGTGTTTTCAGTATCCTGCCAGGCAAATGGCGAACACGATCAAATGCATCGGGAATAATTGCAGAGGTGAAAACGAGCCGGATACTGGGTAATTGTTATTTTGCTACTTTAACAATTGCACACAGACTGATACATTGTATCTTCATTTTCACAGGTGGATAGGATTGTTGCGCAGGAAGGGCGATCGGAAATTTTCGTCAGTCTTTAAAACCTTAGCGCGATCCTCGGATCAAAAGACATCGGTGGCATCATTTATCCGGCTCTTCGAGCCGATGGTTATAAAGTCTTTGAAACAATACACTGTCACGAGTAACATCGCGTTGCAATGCCAAGTTCTAATGCTGCTGAGTCAACTGGTGCAACTCAAGGTCAACTACTGCCTGTTAGATTCCGACAAAATATTCATTGGATTCGTGTTGAAGCAGTTTGAATTTATCGAAGAGGGTCACGTACAGCAGACGGAGGATCTTCTGCCGAGGATATTCAATTTCTTGGTACATTTATCTTACGAGAAAAATCACTCGAAAGCGATAATAGGCATACCAAAGATAATTCAATTATGTGACGGTCTGATGGCAAGCGGACAGCCAGCCATCACGCATTGTATACCTGCGCTCGCGCCGGTTATCGAAGATATATTCCTTATTCGCAACGGAAGCTCGAGCTTAATCGAGCAGCGGGAATTGGAAACAACGAGAGACGTGCTGATAGCCATGCTGCTACGTCTAGTGGAGTATCACGAGGTAGTCGAGCTTTTGGCGTTGTGTTTGGCCGAGTCCAGATTCAGCGGTGACGGAAACGGCGAGGAGAAATGGCGAAGGTGGTCCAGACTGACTATGGACACTGTGCTTCCGATATTGGCGGCTGGAAAACTCAGGATAGAATCCGAAAGGGCGCACGTCGCGCTGGTGAAGCTATTTGCGGCTGTCTCGCCAACTGTTTTCCGACCTGTGGATCCTCTCCTGAAGATACTGTTCACTGTATCGATATCCACAACAGCTTCTAGTCTGAAACTCAAGCGATGGTTGGGCATGATTAACGTCGTACTGCTCTCGTTGATCTCCTGCGCGAAAGAAGAGGCTATGCTAGCACGTCTTTTGGATCTTAACGTGGGCATAACAGATGTGTCGCATCTGTTCTCGCCACATCAATGCTCTGATTCCTCCTCCTCTTCCCACGAGTGTTCCACGGATCCTTTGAACGCCTTGAGTATCCAGTCTCGTCAAGTGCCACCCGAACATATATTAGCTAAATTTATATTCAAAGTAATCAATCTGATAAGCGCAAAGGTATTCAATCTGCTCGGATTGATAAACCACAAGTCCGCGGATCCTTTCGTCGGTTTCTCCGATTACACAGCGGACGACAATTACATGGTGCATCAGTTCGCGTTCTTCCTGCAATTATGCATTCACATGTTCGAGTCTGGCAGCCATTGCAAAGTGGCGAATGCGACAATGCAAATGATTCAAGGACGCAACATATCCGACGAGGAGAAGTTGCTCGTCGATGATTTAAACTGCTTGATGCTCGGCATTGGGAATGTCTGCCCGACAGTGACGTGCCAATGGGCCTATTTGATGATTCTGTTGGGGTACAACGAGATGTCCTTCTGGTCAAAGGTGCTGGGCACCAACGAGAGCGCCGATTACATCGTCGTGCATCCTCGGCCGAGCGAGAAGACGCGCGATTGCATTAACGGTATAAACATCCAGATTGTCAGGAGAGGAGGAATCATATTATTCTGCGACTACATATGCGAGAATCTCAATGACGTGGAGCCACTGACGTGGCTGTTGGTCAATCATATAGAAGAAGCGGTAGATATTGCCGTCGAGTCTCCAGTGAGAGATCTGCTAACCACAGCCATACACAGGAACCCGGCAGCCAGCGGATTGTTAGTGCAAGCGATAGCAACGAAATGTACGGATCTATCGCGACCCAGTTTCATAAAGCGTCTGCTACAGTGCATCGAGGGCGCGCATCATTCGCAGAGCGGCGCGGTTATAATGACCCTGATACCGCGACTCTTATCCACCAAGTATCTCGCTTTGTCGAGAATAGCTGCGAAAATTGCCAGCCGCAGAGTGGAAATATTGTTGACCACAGGCGCGGAAGACGTGATTGATCAACTGTCGAAAGACGATCTCGTGAAGATTATGGACACCTTGCAGACTACCAAGTTGGCCAAGAAACATGGCGGCCTGGTCAGCCTGTTGAATAAGCTGGCCGTGCAATATTACGATCTATCGCCGTTGGAGCTCGACCAGTGCAGACCGTTCAATCCGTCTACCGTGAAGAATATTCAGTTGGATCGAAATTGGTTTCTGTCGCAGGTGAGATTAAGATGCTGCCACGCCAGTGCCGGTAACAATCCTATGGAATTGGCGCAGTTACTCAAGGACTTGGATTTCGATGACTGTCTGAGCATTCTCTCTTGTAAGGAGTTTAATCTGAAAATTTTGAAACACTGTATAATATTGGGTGCCAGACTCAGCGTCCAGAAGTGTCAAGAGTTGGAATTCGGGCAGGCGCAATGCGAGAAGGATTTTCATTTTAACGCGAGTCCCCTGTACGTCGCTGCCAAGCAGTGTCTGCTGGAGCACATTCATTATATCTGCGAACTTGTGCCGAGGCCGCATCAGATCTACAACCCAGAACCGGAAGGAAATAGCAAGGAATTGAAGTACGCCGCTAGATTTTCCGAACTGCTGAGCGACACTCTGTATTGGGAGATCCTGTTCACGATAATCCCGACCGTCAAGATCTACATGAAGACGTTACCGAAATTGGCCAAATACAACGTAGCAAAGATCGACGTGAGATTCGAAGAGGACATCGCCAAGTTTTCCATGTTATGCCTTGAGCTGGCGCATTGGATGATCCACTCCGATGTACGGAACATTCATAGATTGAGGCCACACGACATGGACCTCGCGCTGAGCTGCGCAGCCGAGATCCTGAGACATGCCGCTCCGAGTAAAATCTTCGGGGACAGCGCGCGTTACACCTGGGTCTGTTCCGCGGCAATCTCTTTGACGAGAGTCGTGGAGAGTGTATTGACGACAATGGAACCTTTACCGCTTGTGGACTCGCAGGCCTTAGAACCGGCTCTTCGAGACGACGACACCAAGGATTACGCTCGAGCGTGCATCCAGATGGCATCGATAGTCGCTTGGCTCGAGAAGCGTCAGGTGGAAGGCTTCTCCACGAGGGACATCCCGCCGTATTTGTTCAGCACAATAAAATCGCTCGTCGTTAGCGTGAGTCGGCAACCGCTGGTCAACTCTTACATCTTGACACCACCGTTGGTGTGGAAACGCGGCTCGGGTCACACTGTCGGCTCAGGCCCCACCAAGTGCTACTTTCCACTATTGTCATCCGAATCCAATCTTCTACAAGAGGTGGATATTCTCGAGCAATTCATTTACCGAGTAAATTTACTGGGCTGGATCTCGAGGTCGCAGTTCGAAGAGATCTGGATGGCGTTCTTGAGCGTCCTTAACTTTCCGCAGAACGAAAACACGTCCAAGGAGGACGTGGCAGCCTTGATCCAAGCGAGTGGCTTGGCGGTTCAGGCGATAACGAGACTGCTGTTGCAGACGTTGCTGCTGCCGTGTCCCGGCAATCCTGATGCTAGCGTTTTGATTCATCATCCGAGAGACCCGCAGCTCTCCGTTCACAAAATCAGTTCTCAGAAGCTGTACGCCATACAGGAGTTGCTCTTGTGGAAGTACGAGTACATGAATGACGCGGGAGGTAAGAATAGTCTGAGAATAGAGCACATATTTCGCAGGGGAAACTTGGAGAGAACCGCAATGACATCCGACAGATTTACGTACAGCCAACTATCGGTCTCCTACTTGTGGTCCTTGTGCAATTTGTACGAGGACAAGTTGAACGCTTCCGTCCTCGACTTGAGGAACAGGAGAAACGATGCGCTGATGTCCGCGTCGCTCGATCTAGATTCGTGTCTGCGTTTCTTGATTGAGCATTACACTATCTGGATGTCGCCGCAGGCTAAAACACCAGTACAATTATTGACGGAGATCGTGAAGTCCATTCTGGCGATCTCGGAACTCTTTTTAGAGAGATCGCAATATCAATGGATGTTGGACGTGTGTCTGGAAGTCTCGAGGATACATCCGACAGAAAATGCGATTCTACATCAATATCTGGTTATTTCTACGTGTAAAGCTGCTGCCGTTTTGACGCCACTCGTGAGGATTTTATTCGAAAATTTTCTATAACAAAGATATGAAGATTCTTTTTAATTAATATTATCTCTTCGTAGGATTTGGATACCTTGGATAAGGTGAGGCGCATAGTGGATGTTAATTTAAAGTCCGGATTCTTAGCCTCCAGAGTTTCCGCACTTCACGGCTCTCTATATCTGCTGCAAAGCGCGGTACTCACCAAATGCGAGGAAACGATGAACATTATACATCCTCTAGCTATCGAATATATACAGAAGCACATTGACTCGCAAGATTCAAATAAGTAATTTCCAAATGAAATCTAATTTAATTTTCATCAGTAAGAATATATCATTTATTTGACACAGAGTTGGCAAAAAACTTGTTTTTTTTAATTTTAAACAAAAAACATTGTTTTTTTGTTTAAAACAATGTTTTTTTGTTTTATTTGTGTTTTTAAGTAAAGTAAAAAAACATGTTTTAAACAAAAAAGCACGTTTTAAACAAGCAAAAAACACTTAAAAGCTTTGATCTGTGTAAATATTTAAATTTTTCGCTACCGTTAAACTGTAAATAACGTTGCCAAAATTGAAACGCTATTAAAAATATAAATAATAAAATAAAAATGATAAGATGGGTATTATTTTAGCAGAATATTTATTTTTGGATATTAAATAACAATCAATACAATAAAGATTACTTAGAAGATATTGACTGATTTTACATTTTACATTTTAGCATTTTAAATTAATAGTACATAACTCATAGCAGGTCAGTAGTTTTAAAAAAAAGTTCTAGTTAATAATATTTAATATATAATACTTTGGTTCCTTTCCTATTCTTATTAAATAACCTCATGCTTAACTCTCAACATAAATTATAAATAAAAGAAAAATAAAAAACCTCAATTCTTCTTTTTAAAAGAAGAACTTTTTTTTTAGAACTACTGACCTGCTATTAATTTAAAATGCTAAAATGTAAAATGTAAAGTCAGTCAATATCTTCTAAGTAATCTTTATTCTATTGATTATTATTTAATATTTAAAAATAAATATTCTACTAAAATAATACCTATTTTATCATTTTTATTTTATTATTTATATTTTTATATCTATATGTTACATAAATATAGATAAAAAACTAAAAATACTAAAACAAAAACTTTTTTGCAACATACACATGATGATTAGTTTTTGTTTGGTTTTGATTTTTTTTACAATTTCTTTTCCAAATAATCATATATTTTATTTGTGATATTTTGAACGGTTCTAAACGGTTCTAAAATAGTTTAAAACAGTTTAAAACAAAAATGCTTAAAACAATGTCCACTGTTTTAAACAAGTTTTAATCAAACAGTTTTAAACGCATTGTTTAAAACATGCCAACCCTGATTTGACATAATCTTTTTTTTTGTCTAAATCATTATCGTGCTTCGTGTACAGCATTTCAAGTCAGAGCGAGGAGCATCAGGGAATAATGTGGGCTCTGGTGTTCTTTCTACTGGAACACGCGGAGGATACCCCACCAGATGCGGAAGCACCGGCTGTGTTGGAATTAGTCCTTTCTCTAGTCACATCTCAGAATCTCTCTTACGGTTTACATCAAATGCTGCTGCAGGTATGTTACTTATAACGCCTCAATGAACGTTTACACGACACATATACCTATATTTGACTCGACAGGGTCTCGAGAGACTCGTGGCAACGAAGAGCGTAGTTGGCAAAGTCGCTGAGCAGATTGTTAAGATTGCAATAGACCGGCTGAAGCAACCGAGTCCATTGCTGGCGCTACCAGCACTGCAACTTCTGCTAACATGCATGTACACGGAAGCGGCTGACCGATTGAATCGCCCCGGTGTCGAGGAACCGTTGCCGGATGTGGAGCCGGAGACACTGGTCCGATCCATAGAGCGTATATCCGCGATATTCGACAAGATCCGCAAAGGTTATCCCATGGAAGTAGAGGTGTTGTGCACGGTTCTGTCAAGCGTTCTTGGTGACTTTTTCCCGCCATCGGAGATCTTGACGAAGGTCATAGGAGAATTTCTATCTCCACAGCAACCACATCCGAGATTACTCTCTGCCGTTGTCTTTAAAGTTCGTAAATCGCGATAAAAATCAAGTTATATGTACAGGATGTTTCACATAAAGCGTTACAAGATGTTTTCTTCCCCTTGCTGTACAAAAAATGTCTAAAAAAGTTAGGAGTAATTTATAGGATTTTAAGAGAGATAAAAGTTGATAATATTAAATTTTAACTAAGGTCAATTTTCAATATTATGTGAACATGTGTGAATCTATAATTATTTTAATGGAACTATATTAATTATTTTATGCAAACCGATTCTTTGCAATTTCAGCATTAAAAGTTATAATAGTAAGATTTTCAAAAACTGCATAGTTTACCTATTTTAATTTGACATAAACTATGAAATATCTTGGAAAATATTTTTTTTTATTATCTTATCTAAATATTTTTTATTCATTATATAATAAGAGGAATCAATTGATGTAAACAAAACACATAATTGTTTTTAAGAAAAAATATGAATTTGCAGCAACTCATTTCATCATAAAACATTTTGTTTATACATCAAGTTTTGAAGGAAAACACTGTAACATTTTGTGTGAAATATTCTATACAATCAAACAACGAAACAAATATAATTTCTCCGATCTAGGTTTGTGAGAAAGCATGTACCTGCACGGAAATGGAGCTCCTTCAAGATTGGGTGGTATTCAGTTTACCGAATTTCATTCAGAGCTTGCCAATGGCAATGTCGACTTGGTGTTTGTCCTGTTTCTTTATAAGCGCATCGACGAATCATTGGTTGAGAGCTTTGTATCCTTTTTCGATTAACGTAACTGTCTAATTTTTCACAAAATAGCGAAAGAAAGGAAAAAAATTTTATACTTTGATAAAATTGTTGTAAAATAAGAATAACGTAATAACTCCTTAGCTATAATATGACAGATTTCCATACGTTCAATCGAGAATAGGAAAGTACGAGTATGAAGATAAGAAAATGTTGTGTATAGCCGCTTCAGACTTTTACCATAAGGTATTATAAGATTAATAGTTTTTAATTAATTAATATTTTTAATTAATTTCTTATTTTATTTAATTTTAATATTTTTATTTTTATTATTATTTTTAATTATTTATTTTAATTATTTATTATATTATTTTCAATTAATATTTTTCAATTCTTTAAGCATATTTACGCTTATCATTTATTTTACTTATCGTATTGATTGATTTCAGCTATCTAAGGAATCGCAAAAAAAGGCGTTTGTTGAGACTTTCGAAGCAGCTGCTAAGGAACCTGGGACCCCGTTCAGTGATATTCTAGCATCTTTTTAATTGATATTGACCATAGTGTTGAGAGAAATATTCTACGATATTAAATTCATACTGTAAAAAATTAATATATGCAATGACTTGTGCGGTGTATACGTGTATACGCACGCACGCACGTGTACATTTGTATGTATGATATGATATTTATTTTCCATTATGCCCCGTCGAAAGAGAAATATGCAACTTGTTTTAATAAACAGTATTTTTTAAGTAAATCTATCTCCAACAGTATTTTTTTAGGTAAATACCAATTTTGTATGTGTAGGAGAATTTTAATTATTTATAAAGCACGCGGGACGTAATTTATCTTATTCATATGTTGCAAAAACTATACATACTTTTGACTGAATTTTCTCTAAACATTAAACTCATGATACAATAAGATTTATTATTATTATTAATAAAAATAAATATTATATATATATATATATATATATATATAATATGTTATTATGTATATAATTATTATATATAATTATATAATTATTTATAGAATAATATAAATATATATATATATATATATATATATATATATATATATATAATCTATACATAATTATATAATTATGTATAATAATTATACATATGATAATATCTTACTAATGTATAAAAAGAATAATAAGTCTTATTAATTATTATTAATAATTATAAGATTTATTATACTTTCACTTTATCATGATAAAATTTTGCAAAACTCGAATCGAAACATGTTCGCATCGATTAAACGTGTCAAACTCGTGTGTATGTAATCTTTTGTATTTAATTGTATTTTTTTATATTTCTTCGAATCTTGATTTTGAAGTCTTGATCGAAAGATCCTGATCAATCGGATAAAATTCTTCGCAAGATACAAATTATACATCGATAAAGATATCATGAATCCGGTAAGATTTTTTTCAATTTTGTAAAACGAGTCTGCCTCAAGAGTTGCGATTATTAATGGAAAGCATATAAAAGATATGGTAAGTTTATGTGTTAAATTTTGAAAGGATTGAGTTGCTCTTGACTTTCTTGCGCTTTATGAATTATTTCAGGAAACTATGGAGTTATACAAGAGACTGCCCGCGAACGGATACAAAGACACCCTGGGATATCATCGCGGCGATTTTTGCTCCAATTGCGGGCAAAACGAATACGAGGACGCGTTGCGTGGCATCGCGACACGAAGAAGAAGAACGAGAAGATACGAGAAGCATTGTCCCTCGTGTCACTGTCCTGTCGAGAGGCGAAGATTATCTCCGTCCGGTGGACCAAGGTGGACCAAAAGATGTCCCTTTCCACTCGACTCTACCAGTTGATAATGAAAAAAAAAAGAATAATTAAATTGTAATTGTTCTCTTCGATCTCGTAGGACTTTGGAAAATGTCGAGGCTACGCTGAATCGATACGAACGTGTCTTTGCGGAGCCGGTCAGCTCGGCCATCAAGAAGTCGCAGAGCAGTCCTCTGTCGCAAAAGATATACTGGCACGATTGCCAGACTGGTGTGCATCCTCGTTGCCCCAGAAGATCGCTGCAGCAAGCTCGTCGTCAACGGAGAATTGAACACGATAGATATTTAGGTAGAATAAAGGGGGATGTTCCGATGAATTCCGAACTGATCAACGAAGATGAAGCCTACTCCAAATACGCGCAATTAGTACCAATCAAGAACTTGAAGAAGCATAATCACTGCAGAGAACCCGAGGTAATACTTCTTATGCTTCTTGAGATATCAAAATAATTTTTGTCTCGCAAATTCTAAGGAGCTTAGCTCCTATCCAACAAAAAACAGTTATATAACTGTTAGTTATAATTTCCCACTCAACAATATAACTGTTACATGTTATGTAATAGTTACATAACATGTAACAGTTATATTGTTAAGTGGGAAATTACAACTAACAATTATATAAATGTTACTTGGGTATGTTTGCTGGATAGTTTATTCTGTACAATACAATCGTTATAGGTTTTTTATTTATCTGATCACTATTATAATATCTTTTAGGGATCGCCGGACGAGCAGGAATATTCCGATGCCGAAAGCGAGGTATCGGCGAAATACGCTCCATCCGTTCGCCAACCGAGGAAAAGAGAAGAGAAGGAACCGCGCGTAATAAATCGACATCTCGCATTGAAGTGTCATCAAGGTGTAAGCGGGGACGGTGAATACATCTCGGAGATGAGGAACCTGGAGAGTGACGTCGACTGCCGGCGAAACACACGCGAGTATCAGGAAGCGAGGAAGCTTGTTCTGGAACTTGAGGAGCTGGAGAGGCTGAAGATGAGGGCAGACGAGGAAGCGACAGCAATGACGAGGGTAAACGAGGACGATAAGAGGCTCGATAGACGCAGGCACGATGTTATCGCGAGGACGATGAAACAGAAGAGATCTGCAGGCGATGCTACTACGATTACCGATCCATCCGCCCTGATTAAGGAGTCAATTGATGGATCCGCGAAGAAACTTAACGGGCCGACACATTTAGCGAAGTTGGATCTCCACGCCACCAAGACTCGCATTCTGGAATCAATCGATCATATGCTCGGTACCATGGACAATGCAAAAGTATAAATTTATATTTCATATATTTATATAAACATATGCCAGCAAACACTAAATAACAGTTATGTAACTGTTAGTTATCATTTCCAACTCAACAATATAACTGTTACATGTTATATAATAGTTACATAACAGATTACAGTTATATTATTGAGTGGGAAATTACAACTAACAATTATATGTTACTTAATGTTTGCTGGGATATATTCATATTAAATATTTAATATATTATATATTATATTATTATATTTAATATATTATATTATATTTACATGTATATTTTATTATTATATTTATTTATATTTTATATTTTAATGTATTGACACACACTTTAATTTCTATTTATCAATACACAATCTCTCTTTCGATAGTCTATATATTAAAAAAAAACAAAATATCTTTTGTTTTATTATATCTCTTGCAAACAAGTCATTTATAACACTCGAATTATATATTATCAGTATAATAAGTATTCATTTTTTTGTCTAGAACGATACACCAATACAACAAGAAGATACAGAACAAGAGACCATCGAGAAAATAAGTCGTGAACTCCAGGAGAACGGCTGGCAATTACTGTTCAACGCTTTGACGATACATAAAAACTCGACGGATTCCAGTAAAAGGACCGTTCGTCTGGAATGTTTGAATCATATTCGACAACAACTCGACAAACTCTATGCCCTCGAGTCGACTTTGGACAATTGCCCGCTTAAATTGCAGTCTCTATCAAACAACGATATATTGTGTAACGAAGAACATCAACAGACTCAACAATTGGAGCACAAAATTGCGGATTCTTGAGCTTGCTCTTATGACTGGGTTTTCGTCTTCTCTCTTTTTGAAACTGACAAAGAACTATGATAAATTTTAAAGATCCATACGTGGATTTCATCAAAATACACACATATGTTCATAAGTATCGCGAATGTTTCACGAATGAATCAAAGTACAGTTATACGAACTAATTGCAAATATGTTAAAAATGCAGATTGTCAAAGTATACATTATTGAAATTCCTGCACGCATCGTGTGCGAATCAATATTTAAGATAAACATATGTGCAATTTTATAGAATATAAATATTATTAGAATTTGTAAAAAAAATCCGATGTTATTATTTGTTCGCAAATTCTAGAGCTAGATCAAAGTCCCTCGGTTAGTTAGTTAATCCATTTGTCTTTCAGTCTGAGATTTAAGTAGCAATAGCTTTATTGTTGAAACGTTTTAAGTATACATCAGAGTACATAACTACTCTCTATTTTCTTTCCGCTGTCAAGCTAAACAAGGTACGTGTAATATTAAATTGTTTCCATATTTTCGGTAAATAGTTCTCTTTGCAATGAGAAGTGCGCATGAATTCATTATGTATAATACATATATATATATATATATATATATATATATATATATTTTATATGCATTTTAGGCTCTTCTTGCATTTGCTACGTATGTATATTCTCAATATACATACATACATATGTATATATGTATACATATAATATATTTTTAATCTATAAATAAATATATATACATATATAATATTTATATGTATATGGGATATTGGTAGAACAATTATTTACATAACGTTATAATAAGCTATGACTAGATATATTGACGCGTTAGGATATAATTCTGGAAACTTGAATATATAACGATGGGAAAAGACATAAATCGGAGAGATCCCGGTAATATTCGTGAAGTTTTTGCTTCGTACGAGGGTGCAAAAATTTGTTAAAAAAATGTCGAAACACTGAAAAAAGTCTCCACTTGGGAATAAAGTAAAAATAAATGCAAATTAGCAACGTAAAATTAACATACTTCTCGCTAGCAGCAGATATTGTTATTATTCGTTGTACGTTCACTTTCTTTACGCTATTTTATAATTAGTTTTACCGTTTTAGACTACGATACTTTCGCGAAGCTGCCATTTGAACGGGTGACCTGACGATCCGCGAAGAAGAGGGTGGAATGAATAAAACGCAAGAAGCGAGGCAAATGAACGATGAGGATCCCGAAACGAGTTATTACGGGGTTCCCTCCATCATTACAGGTACACACGAACGTATCCGACGAAGACTGGGGATAATACTGCAAGTAGAGGAGACGGCTGTATAGAAACTTAATTATAATCAGGTAATATCTCGATAATATAATCTAAGTACACAATGTGATATAAAATCTACGCTTATACCAGTAGATGTTTCAACAACAAGACTACACGTCTGATCTCCGCCTCGTTCCACCCTCACTCGTTTTACACATTGATCCTTTTATCGATAACGTTATTTTGTCTGGCAAATTTTGATTTATACAAGAGTACATGTACGTGTATTTTTATAAATACATATCCAGCAAACACCAAATAACAGTTATATAACTGTTAGTTATAATTTCCCACTCAACAATATAACTGTTGCATGTTATATAACAGTTACATAACAGATTAAAGTTATATTATTGAGTGGGAAATTACAACTAACAATTATATAAATGTTACTTGGTGTTTGCTGGGTATCATCAATTTTCGATTCGGGAACCGCTGGACGTAAACGGGACACGTTGCCAGAGGACGGGCCATTTTACGGATTTATGAAAGAGAGAAACGTCTAAAAAGATATTATTGACTTCGATTACACGCTATTAAGGACACGATTCGAATTGATCGGAACCGAAGAAAAAAGAGGACGCGCCTCTCCTCTCTTCTCTCTCTTTCTCTCGTCCCGCTTCTCTAATCTACTACTTTCTAATTAATTGCCACCAAGTGAATTGACTCTAATGACACCGGTTCCCGAATCGTTCAGTCGTTTCTGAGGTGGAAAGTCGTCGGAAAAATTAGACGGGTAGCTACCACTTAAACGTAACTTAAATCCCTATGTTCCTTTTCGTTGATGCTCGAGATGCGGACCCGCGAATCTTGCGCAACTTTCATTCGTCAACGGCGGGGATCTCGTTTCCTCCGAGGGAAGGGAAACTCATCTCAGCGAATATCAGAATTAGATTATTAAAGTCTATAACAGTCACAGTTTTCCATAAATCAACCTTACCGCTGTTTAAAGAGCTTAATTTTAAATACTTCCTCAGTAAACACTGTTATATTAATGTTATATAAAAGCAATAAAATGGAATGTTACAAGTAATATCATAAATCGGCAAAAATTACTGGTTAATTGTAATTTGCCATAAATATAACATATAATATAACATATATATATATATATATATATATATATATATATATCGTACCATATATGATGGCTAATATATATAATTCTATTATGATTCTATATAGACTTAATTAAATAAATAAAATAAATAATATATATTTAATTTTTATAAAATTTGGAATTTAATTTATGTGAAATTTTGATTTTTTATTTCAAAAAGTATAATAACTGGATTATTTCCCACATATTTATCTATCGAATTTCAAATAATCCATTTAATATTCTAAATTTCTTATTAGAATTGAATTAGAAATAAAATTGACGAAAAACAGATGCATTTTGAATCTCATATTAATATTTGTTCTTTGTAGACTTTATACCCACTTTATAATGAAAAATTGAATACGAGTTAATTAATTAAATCTGCTTTTTGTAGCAGCAAGCAAAGTATAATACGTATATAACAATATATTACAATAATAAATATTCTGTTATATTACTGTTATATTATTGCAAAATAACGCGATATGATATAATAGATTGCGTATATTGCAGTTTTATATATCAAATAAGTAACTTGTGTTATATTATTTGTTACTTTCCCGTTACGTTATTGAAACAAACAGTGTTTACTAGATCACTTCTAGTAAATATCCTCTCGTTTCTCTTGTATGTAAACGAGAAGTCTTCCTTTCGGATTGTGCGATCGATTACCGCGATGATCCGCGGAATCGACAGCGAGACTGGTCCGCTTAACGTAGATCTAAAAGGCGCCTTACTAAAAAAATCGACGCTTCCTAAATCCTGGAAGCCGATGCGTTCGATGCCGAGATGTTGATGCGAGGGTCAGGAAGATACTTTCGTCTTGGCTCTGGATTTTAATTACTTATTAATTATTATTAAATAATTAATTTAATAAATATTATTATTTAATTTAATAATATTAATTAATTAATTTAATAATTTGACGTAGTCCCGATTAGCGTAACCCAAGCATTATCAGCATCAATCGTATCGAAACGCTGTATTATATTCATATATATATATATATATATATATATATATATATATATATATATATATGCGTAATTTTCATCTAACTCGCTAACAATAACGGATAAACGTAGTGAACAAACACGTTGAACGTTCAATAATCGTTTGAGATCTCTTCTAAGCCTTCGCGTTGTTATATATTATATTATATATTATATATTACGTATGTGTGTACGCTAGAGATTTTTATAATCACACACTATAAAGCGTCTGCGCGATCCTTGCGATTCAAAGAAACAACGAGCTGCACATCGACGAAGCTCTCGCAGGATATATAAAATATAAAAGGCAATACATATAAAAAGAAAGCTTTATATAAACCCCATCGATTCTATCTACAATGTTCATTCCTATCGATTCAAAGTCGTTTATAAATTTGATCACTTTTAACTGAATACACATTTCTTACGGTTGACATTTTTATCCAAGGTGCTTAAAAATTAGAGCGACAAATTTTTTGAAGAGAAAATAGGACTTCAAAATAAACATTTTTTGTTGGTAATATTTTTCTGTAATTTTTGTTTTGCTCTTATATTCAAATTCTCAAACAGAGGATTGTTTTATCAGAGTATCTTGACAAGTTACATGTGATTATTATAAGATGATATACGAATAGAATTGACTGATAGCTTCTTTATGGAGCAGTTAATTCCCAGCAGACACCAAATAATGTTATATAACTTTCAATTATAATTTCCCACTCAACAATATAACGGTTATGCAACAGTTATATAACATGTAACAGTTATATTGTTGAATAGGAAATTACAACCAACAATTATATAAATGTTACTTGGTGTTTGTTGAATTATTAATGGATAAAGATAATCAATATTTCGATGATATGATCTTTGTGGATTGAAATTAATGCAAGAATTTTTGATCATTTATAAAAAGAGTGAATTATTTTCATATGTTGGCTCCATTGTTCAAGATTATCCATCTTCAAGATTAAAATATAATTTAATTTTTCTACTTATGTTTGTTTATTGTTGAAGTCATGAAACTTCCATTTCATATCATGTAGTATTAAAATAAAACGTCACAGAGAAAAATATTATTAGCAAGAAATGTTTGTTTTGAAGTCATCTATTTTTCTTTAATGTTTGCCGGTCTAATTTCTTAACACCCTGTATATATATATATATATAATATCTTCATATTTTCATATTTCCTTCCATTTCTTCTTTAATTTCTTTCTCTCTCTCTGTCTCTCTTTCTGCGAGAATTCCGTCGCTGAAAGCTTAATAAACTTGCCATCGATGCCGATCCCGGCGCGCTCGAAAGATCAAAGGATCCCGGAAGCGGAGAGATACGCCGATTATACACCGTGTGAGGTAGCCCTCAAGGTCTCAAGGAACGCGCAGTTTATATAGTGCTGGTTGTAGATACTTTCATCGGATAAGGCTGCGTTAATTATTGTCTCTTTCAGCGCTCGTTCGCCCTCGTAGAGAACACCAACTCTCCCTTTGCCCCTCCCTTCTCGTATTTTTTTCTGCTTATTTTTCTTTTTTTTCTGGTCACGAATGAAATTTCGCTTGCTCCTCCGTTCTCGAAATCCCGATGTTACTTTTGAGAACAGTTTTCGTTTTCACGCGGATTTTAAGAGGCGTCTCTCTCTCTCTCTCTTTCTATTGTTGATACTTGATACTCGAGAAAGATGTGCGCTCACCCTCACGCTAACGAGGGATCTCCTTTGATCTCGCGAAGTTTCGTCTCTTTCGGTTTACTTGAATGAAAAAAAATGTAATTATTCTATAATAAATTATACTTCGAGGCGCACGAAAATATTTCTTATTTTGATCATATACATTTCACGCAATGCGCTACCCAGTAAACACTGTTATATTAATGTTGCATAAAAGCAATAAAACAAAATGTTACAAGTAATATATTTAAGTATTATCGATAAGTTGTTAGTTAATTTTCCATTTCATAAATAACGATATTCTATATTTGATATGAATTAAGATACGTTATAGCGTTATTAGAATTAGTTCACATCAAATGTAGAATATTGGTCATATATACAATTTGTAATTAAATAAATAACATAAACTATATCTATTTAATTTACAAAATTAAATTCTATACATTTTATAAATTAAGTTTATAATAAATTTTATAAATAATATAATTTTATAAATTTTATTTATAATATTGATTTTTTTAATTTGAATACACAACAAATGAAGGATTCTCAATTTCAAATAATCTGTTTATTCTTAATCCTTCGTTATTAGAAAGTTTAAAAAATATATATTTTGAATCTTATATTAGTACCAGTCTTTTAAACTTTATATCCATTTCATGATAAAAAAAAAATTAATAATTTAAATCTGGCTTTACCTCGTAGCAGCAAGCAAAGAAACATGTATATAACAATATTATATTATAATAATATTCTTTAATTACATTACTATTGTAATGTTGCAAAGTAATATGACATGTTACGGTTTCATATCATGTAGATAACTTGCTTTATATTATTTGTTATTTTCATGTTATATTATTCTAACAAACAGTGTTTACTGGGTATAAATGCATAATAAAAATCTTGAAAAATAATTGACGCAAATAAAAAATGTAAGGATCACGCTTATGTGTTTGCAAATGCGATATAGCAATTAAAAACAACAAAAAAAAACTCTTGCATGTACGTTTCCGTAAAAACATGAATTTCAATTTTCAATGCGATATAGAGCACCGTTAACAGTCTTAACATTTAGCCGCAGACATGACGCTTCTAAGATCTATTCTAACAAGCCGTATATATCTACTGGTATCTTTTTAATCTATATAATGTTAGGATATATATAAAACGAGTAATTGTCAAAACGCATTCCTTCCACGGTACTCAGGCATTTGCGCAATATGGCTGTATAAAACGTATCACATCTTGTATCTCGATTCGAGCAAGTTTCGCGCGCGACGTACATAATAAGGTCTGTGACTAAAAGTTAAGATTTAAGAGAGTTGAAACTTTACAACGATCAATTTGAAAAACGCGATCGACTTTTTGATTATAGGAAACAACCGTCCGCGATAACTCAATACACTCCATATAGTGACTATAACATCCGGTATAATGACTGGTACAGTTGTATTGTCTGTCCGAGAGTGCTCTCATTTATCCCGAGAGGGAGATTCAATTATTCGTTGCTTGGAAAAAATCGTAACTTGTCCGCTTACTTTCATTCAACCGTGAGAAATCCGCATCCGATCGAACGGAAGCAAGCAAAATACTCGTTCGTCACTTTCGATAGCACCAATGAGGATACAATGCCTGTGTACTCAGCGCGAGCACGTATTGTCTGCATTCTCTATAACAGCCCAGAAAGAAAAAAAAAGCTCAAGCCCTTTTTTTTCTCTTACCTAAAGAACCTGGAACAGTCGCTTCAATTCCGCAGCAAGCTAAAGATTATACCTGTTCCGACATGCACACTAGCTTCTAAACTCATCCCTCGTCTTGCCGTTCGCCTTCGCTCATCGAGTAGAAAGGGGAAGGGTGAAGGGAACGAAATCGCTGAGCGTTTGTCGCGATTTACGTGCGCGCGTCATCGTTCGCGATCCGATCGACCGAGACGATGATCCTTAGTTTCGGACGATCGTTCCGCGTTTGAGCAAAGCAAAGGTCGGAAACGAACGAGGCGAATCTTGCATTAGAATACGCTGGGGCATACTGGAGGATTCATCTCGCCGAAGACATTGAGCTCGTAGAGCGACGCGAACACGATAAATATCAAATACCAGATCATCAGAACCATGCCGTATCGCCGGTCCAGCTTCCAGCCGTTCAAGTGTGTCGCCAGCACCAGGAATACCACCGTCGACAGCAAAGAAACGGTGGAATACGTCAAGCCTAGATGAGAATGAAAGGTGGACATATAAGCGATAGTTTCAAATGTGTAATAAATGGATATATAAATTCTGTATACCTCTGCTAGTGACGTTTACGTGAGAACCGGGCTGTATCATGGCGGTCTGTATGAACCAAGGAAGACCGAGGCACACCAAAATGTCGAAGACATTGCTACCTACGGCGTTACTGACCGCCATGTCGCCGAGACCTTCCTTTATGACCGCCAGCGAGGAAAGAGCATCTGGCACGCTCACACCAGCGGCAACAAAAGTCAAGCCCATCATAGTGTCGGGAATGCCCAAAGTGCTTCCTGAAGTAAAATTGTCGCTTTATTAATATAGTTCTGTTCATTGTCGAAGATATCACCCAGCAAACATCAAGTAATACTTATACAGGATGTTTCAGACCACCTGTATCACCCATTTAAGAACTAGAGAAATGGTTATTTAAGAAAACACATAGTTGTTTCTAATAAAAAATATGTAATTAGCAATTAACAATTCCATATTTTTTCTTAAAAACAACTGTATGTTTACTTTACACCAATTGATTCCTCTCATTATTTTGTACATAAAAGTATTGAGGTAAGATAATCGAAAAATGAATATTTTACAAGATATTTTATGGTTTATGTAAAATTAAGAAATGATTTCAAGCCTCATAATTCGAAAAGTACTTCATGGAAAAATAATTTATTATAGTGTTTTGGAAAGCTCTCGAGGTAAGCTACAACAATATGCAATGAAAAATAGGGGATTCCATTTAAAAATATGCACTTCCAGTCTGAATCGCCTATTTCCGGCCGGAACCAGAAGTTGAAAATATCACTATTCGATAGAGCGCACCCAATTTATAAAGAAAATGTGTTTACTTTTTTGAAATAACCACTTCTCTAGTTTTTAAATGGGTGGTACGGGTGGTCTGAAACACCCTGTATAATTGTTAGTAACTGTTATATAACATGTAACAGTTATATTGTTGAGTGGAAAATTATAATTAACAGTTATATAATTGTTATTTGCTGGGCATTGATTGCATTGAAATGGTGATCAATTACCTATGATTGTGATCATCCACACCATTATGTAGCTGTAGAAACTGATCCAGATCATCGATATACAGAAGGTGAAGGGATACCAGCGCCGCCATTTCTCTTGCCGGCAATCCGGCATCGTTGCTCGACACATGAAATGGATGGGGTACACGAGACCCCAGGTGAATAAGGTCCATTTACTACCATCCGGCGGCATCACGAGAGGCGACACTTCATTGGGATCCGGTTCCTTCGCTTTATAGTACTCGGGCTGCTTCGGTGCCGATTGTTGCTGCTGTTGCTGTTGCTGTTGCTCGATCGTCTCTTGAATACCATTTCCTGAAGGAAAAAGGGAATAACATTTTGAAATTTGTAGAAGATATAAAAAGAAGAGAGTAGTAAGAATGATTAATTACCTTCCTGATTCTTTATTTGCTCGGTGATTGGCGAGTTGGGTCCGGTGTAGGATAACCGCTCCTCTTGTAAGGATCTGTAACTTACCAGAGCACTTTCCTCAGCGGGTTCATCGTCCTTCGGCAGGAATGGAATGTTATACGACTTCGCCCAACGTTCCAACTTAACGTTGAATGAAAGCGCCACGCAATAGACTGCGTACATGATCAACATGAACAGAGATTCTGGCCTGAGAAATTGATATTTTCGTTTTACGCGACTGATTATATTAATACTCTGCACTAATTTTCACTTCTCATGATCGGATACAATCGTGAGTGATCAAATACTCACCAAGATATGGACTCATTGTAAATAGTGCCGAGCATCACGAGAATCGAGATGGCGTAGAAAAAACAGTCTCGGCAAAGAGGCCACCAATTTAATTTGGCGGCCGTGGCGGAGAATAGGCCGCAGATCGATATAACAAACATTATATTGAAAACGGCGCTGCCGATAACGCCGCTCACCTGGAACGGACGAGAAGAGGTTTAATTATCGGACTCTTGTCCCGTCAATTATCGCGGCAGGAACACAATAACATCTGGTGCCTTTTAAGCACTATACATCTATATGACTGACAACCTCGAGACACTATTATATATCATATACTATTATATCATATACTATTATATACTACCTACTATTGTATATACTATCCCAGCAAACACCAAGTAACATTTATATAATTGTTAGTTATAATTTCCCTCTCAACAATATAACTGTTACATGTTACGTAACTGTTACATAACAGTTATGTAACAATTATATTGTTGAAGTTATATTGTTTGTGCTGTAGGGGATTATATATACTATAGTGATATTTTGTCGGTGCTGACAATAATGATGAGAGTCCTCACGATTGAAAGAATAAGTTGCTCGCTCGTGTAAAATATTGTTCTGCAATAAGTTCACTTTTTCTAATATTTTAACGTAGCAAAATATGCGACTAGCTTACTCCAATATCATCCTTGGCGAAAAACACACCGATGATCACCGTCGCTAATTCGGGTGCGGAAGAGCCAGCTGCCATGAAAGTGGCTCCGGCGACATCGGGAGACAGTCTTAATTCTGAAAAGAGAAAATGTAATAAAGTCAAATCAAGTTTGAACTGAAGAAACGAATTTGAATGCATCAGGAAAAGCAAGAGCACTATTTCCTATTGCAAAGGAAAACAAAACTAAGCTGATTCGTATGTCGTCTCTTGATAACAGATATCGTCGTTTCATAGGATGTGTGAAACATGATGATTGTCTTGCGTAAAACAGACTACGCGTAATATTACGTAACTTGGAAGCGAGATTATCGTCTTACAACAGAAAGAGGATCTCTATAGTAAACTCTCACCTTCGCAGATTCTATCCAAGCTCGAGACGAAGTAATCGTCACACACTATGGCGAGGCCTAGGAACGTATAGATTGCGACCACAATGTGAATTATAAGCCCGCCGTGTTTTCTGGCTTCCGGTCCCATCAACGGTCGTGGAAACTGTTCTATAGCGGGTGCCGAACAATTAGTTCTTCGTGGTCTCACGGTAGGGTATGGATAAGGCTTCGTCACAGGAATCGTCTGGATAACTGGCGTGACCTGGGTCAAGAGAAAAAAATTTTAAATAATTCATCAATTATTATCAACACAAAAATCATGCAACACTTAATCATGTGTATTCAAAATCTGGTCTCTTAGCTTGATTTGATCTTCCGGAGATATCGCGAATCACCAAAAGTCATCAGGATATCAATGTCAACACCTTGATATCAACGATATCAATGATATCAAGGTGTTGACATTGATATGAATCGTTAGATATCAACACTAGTGATACCTAACTGACGTCTCGCACCTGATGCAGATGTATTATGCAACCTGTCTCGATTGCAACTTGTCTCTAATCTTGCTTTCTGTTACGGTCTACCTGCTCTACGCGATACACAGGGTATTTCCGATGCATTGCAAAACTTACAGTGGTGCTACTGCTTCGGGCAGGTTTCGCTGCAGGAGTCGCAGTCCCCTTCTTCCCAGCCTCTTTATCTGCCTTCGACTGATCTCGCACGTTCTTCTCAGATGCTTTCGCATGTTCTTTCGACGCCTTTTCTTTAGATTCCTTTTCGTTAGATTTGTTTTCGTTAGATTCCTGGGCAATTTCTTTCGACTTGGAAATCGGCATCACAGTGACCTCCTCCTTGGGCATCGGCGGGATCGTCGATGATTCCTCCGTCGCCTTCTCGTTGATGGAGGCGAGCAAAGATTCTGTCGATTCCGACATCGAACCCTCGTATTGCTCGGAACTCGAGGTGAGCGTCATCTCGGATGGTACAATCCTCGCGGAGGTGACGTACTGGACGAGGACATAGATCAGGAACAGACCCAGTCGCAGAGGCCACCTCCTGCGACGCGCTTGCAGATTACGCGGTCTGTTCCTCATTGTCTGTAACTGGAACAACCATTGTAAGAATTTGGTGCACCCTCACATCTCTTCTTCTTTCCTTTACCGAAGCAAATTATGTTAAGAGTCCAATCTTCATCTATCAGTATGAAAAATAAATGACTTTTAGCAATTCTTTTTTTAAATATTAGAATTTTATGGCGTTTCACAAGGTTTTATTAATATTTAATTATTTTAATTTGTGTGACATCGAAATATGGGATACTGAATTTAATTAAGATTTGTAAAAATTAATATTTCCTATTTTTGAAATTTCATTTTTAAAAAATAAACAAGTTACAGCAAAATTGAAATATCTATGATTTATAATATGATACTACTTTGTTATTTTTTCCCGAATAAAATTCAGTTCGATATCCCAAAAATATCCTGAAATAAAACTGAAATTTTTTTTTTATTTCAGACAATTACACGAAGAATAGCATATCATATTGTCGAACCATGTATTTTTGTACGCGCAGAAATTCATTAAAAAAAAAAACGTATAAAAATATCCAAGATAAAAATACTGGCATACTATTTAAGTATCCATAAAAATGTTAAAGAACAATTTCTAATTAACAAAAAAAATATTCACGAAATTATCAGTTTTCTTACTGCTAAATGAAGATTGAACTCTTAAGATAGTTTAATAAACTGGATCCTTAAATTGTGTGAGAAGCATCAATAAAAACGCCAAAAAAATCAATTTCTAATATTCTTAAAAAAAAATATTCTCAAAATGATCAATTTTTATGTGAAAATAAGGAGGATAAATTGGAGTCCTTAAATTGTGTGAGAGGCAATCTAAGTGCGTCTTTCGAAAAGTCATATTGATTATTTTCCCTTACGAAGAGCTCGTCTCCAAGACAGCCAATTATTCGAGAGAAAACGAGAGCTCTTCGTTCAGACACGGATATGAGAAAAAGCTGTCAAAATTGACTCATATCACTAAATCTTGCAAAGTTTATTTCGGGTCGCATCAAATATAAGGCCAAGGCCCGTCATTAGAGAGATCTTCGGATATATTTCATCGTATAAAACAGCGCACTTCCTCCCACGATACATTTTTATGATCAACTTTATCGTTCATATGTCATTTTTTAGACTCTTTATATATCGCTTGACTTGATTTATCGATGTTTTTCTAATGACATGTTTTCAAGCTTAGTCTGACATAGATCCCGTGTTAAAAACTGTTTCACCTGTACGCTCATTACCATTATTGATGTCGTGTGTACATGGAAAACAGTATAGCGTGGGTGTATAGGCGTGGGTAACACGACACGATATGTGTGTGTGTATATATATATATATATATATATATATATATATATATATTCATATTTTATTTATTTATTTATTTACTCTTATTAATTAATTAATTAATTAATTAATTTATATGCGTGTAGCCGATTTTTTTGAAATTAAAAAAAGAAACAAAATAAAAAATAAAATTATTATTTATAAAATTTATAAAATTAATATACTATAATATTTATAAAAATAAAATTGTTTGTCTACATACTATCATCAAATATACAACGTAGATGAATAAATCGATGATACTCGTCGCATGCGTAAACTATATCCTCTAAGAAAAGCATCCTTTGAACGCAAACATGGTTTAAATACTTTTATCGTAACAATTTTTTTTTGATGTCACAAAATTCCCTTCGGACAAGTATCGGCTGCTGTGTAAACGAATGATCCTGTGTATTATCGCGTATATTTATTGTACAAACGTTACGTGTGTTATAAGCTTGGAATTTTTAATATTCCAGTGGAACGTACGATGTAATTAATTGCAAATTAAACAAAATATGTGATCACAGAGGCAATGTAATATGTCGCAATATGTCATAACTAAGGCTGTTCAAAAAGCATTTTTTTTTTAATAAAAGATTAAATTAAATCTCTCATAAAGTGCTGTAAAAATAATATTCGTAATAAAACAAAGCATTTTTTTGAAGAGAGAAAATGGGAGAAACATTTGTGAATAATTGTATTTACGCAGAGCCTGTCAACATGTTTATTACATGTGGCGCATAATAAAAGTACAATAGCGTAATAAAATATTCCGTGAGCGTAATTAAGTGCCTAATTAAGTGCCGTTGGGGAGTAATTTCGGGGTAATTCCCATCTGCGCGTATAATATGCATGCAAGAATAATTCGCTGTATTACGTGCACGATTCATTGGAGATCAAAGGTGCGCTGACGTAACTGACGTAAATAGAGAGATGGAAAATCAGTCATGTAATCCCGTAAATGCGTATGCAACCTATTTGCGGAAAAGTGACAAGTACGCTCGAGTGTCGTAATTGTTCCGGATTGTCTAATTGCTGTCGGCGAAATTAACAGTGTATATGTGGGCTACACATACAGGGATGATTTGATATTGCTTTGAAACGATGTGTCCTTCGAGGACGATTATCGTGTGTCTTCCTTCTTTTTTTACTATCAACTTAATAATTTTCGAAATTATTTTCTTGAAATAAAATTTGAAGTGAAACAACAAATAAAATAAAGCTCGTCGATAAACTTGATTTTGCTACTTGCTTGTTGTAAAATTTACTTCGTGCAAAGGATCTTTTATTTTTAATCGAAGGCTTTCTCAATATCTCGATATTTTCCTGAGTGCATAATAGGTTGTATAAAAATAATAGGTTATTAAAAGACTGTATTGTTATTTGTATGATTATGTTTACATTAATATTTGTATTGGTAAATAATTTTCCAAAATTAAAACGTACGTAAGGGTAGTATTAAATAATTAGAATTTTAACAAAATGATTATTTGAATAAATACAATCAATAATATTATTCAAAATAAATATAATCAATAATATTATACTCATAAAAATATTCATTCCTTATCAATATTAATTAATATATTAGATACAGACCCAGATGACACATGTTTCTAAAAGATGATTTTTTTAAAATTATATAAATATGTTTCTTATCATCCTTTGAACATCTAACTTGTCTTGGCTTTTTGTAATATCACATAAATAAATATAAATATAAATATATATATATATATATATATATATATATAATTATTATCAAATTTATAATATAATATAAAAAAAAATTTATATGCAAAGAAATACTCTCTCTCTCTTTGTCTCTCTCTGTCTCTCTGTTGTAACAAAAATTCCGGCGAATGAAAACTGATATATATTTTTTAAATAAAGTGTGGGCGCAAAAGAGAGAAAGAAAATATAAAAATTTAATATAATTCCGCTTTTATATAAAAATATAGTTGATGAAAAAGAGCGACGAGTAATATATGTTTCTCATATTTCTTACGTACATACGTGTAAAATCGATTTGTGTGTAAATTCGATCTGTCTTTCAAGAACGGAAATGCAACATTAATTGTAGCGATGATTTTCATAGAAACGGATATTACTTTACTGGATTATTGCACACGTGTAGGGATTATAATATCAAAAGATACGAGAGACGTTGAGACTTAATATATATATCGGAAATCTAACTTTACCATCGCTCTCTCTTTCTCTCTCTCTTTCACACATCGATAACGCAAGTTTTATTATTATAAGCGTGAATTAATTTGTCACACCTCTTTATATATTGCATATTATATTCCTTTTATAATAATTTTCATAATTATAAAAAATTTTAAACGTCCATTTAAAGCGTATCTTTTCTATTAAAATTATATTTTTTAAATTATAATCAACAGTACATTGCAAGATTTATAATTAATATTAACAATAAGTCATATCAAAAACTTTGTTCTAATAAAGTAGAAAACATTTTTAATTTATCGAATTTATTTTTGCCCTTTCGCATAATTGCTCAATTATTTCTTTAAATGTGTATTTTTTTTTAAATAATAAAAACTGAATGCCAGATTTCGACATAATTTTAAGTCAAATATTGAAGAATAGCCTTGACATTCTTCTAATAATTACATCTAATCACAAAAATTTAATCATAAAAATATTTGAAAAAAAAAATTATATATATTTCTAATATTTTTTATTAATTTTTAAAATGTAAAATTAAGAAAATATATAGGTATCGCAAAAAAAGGAAAAGAAAATACTCGTAAAGTCTCAAATTTCTCTCTCTCTTATTATATCAAACAGCGCATTTGCAAAATTTATAGTCAATATTAACAATACATGGAAAAGTACGTTACAGGAATTTGCTCTGATAAACTTCGTTCAGAAAACTTTTTTAATTGAATTATTACATTTCCACTCTTTTATTTAATTCCTTTAAAGTGTAACTTCTCTTCTAAATGACAATAAAAACTAGAATGACAGATAATTTTAAATCAATTATTGAAGAATGGTCTTACATTTTTCTTTAAAAATTATATCTAGAAGAGAAAAATTAATAAAAAAATATATAATTAATAAAAAATATTAGAAATGTATATATTATAAAAAAAGGCAAAAAAATACGTGTCTAAGTATTTAAAATCTCAAATATCGCTCTCTTTTCTACGCGTGCAAGAGTCAAGTCCATCGAAGAGGACATCTGTGCGTGATCATGTTAATTCAATTTTTCTCATACTTTTTGCTCCTCTTTTCCCCCCTCGTTATTTATGCATGCAACTGCTGCTTCGTTTTATTCGCAAGAAATGAGAAGCGGAACCCAAGGATGACAATCGTACCTTTTTTCTGCGATCGTTTATCACGCAACGACGAGCCGGGATCGCGATCACCGGGATACGTATAACATACAAGGGAGCGAGGGAGGATCGTTATCGGCGAGGAAAACTGTGGGACTGCGGGTCTCCGGGTTTGACCCAATTTCAAATCCGCGATTCCATTACGAATCGCTCTCGCGAAGGGAAGATTTCCGCTTACCCCTTGCTCGCCGTTCGTCATGGTCGTCGTCCGCTGTCGAGGCCCGCTGCAACCGGAAGACGTACGTCGGTCGCGCCGGATATAGGTAGCGTGACGTTGACAAAATAAGCAACGGGAATGCCGATGGCCAGCCGCGAGCTCTTATCGTCCCTATCCGCGATTCCCCCCCCTTTAAAGGGTCTCTTTACTCGTCGCGATCGCGCTCGAATTATCGATTCGAACACGAGGAGCCGACCCGCCGTCGCCTCTGTCGTCGTCGCCGTCGCCGACGGCCGAGTACCACCAAAGTACTAACCGAATCCACCGGAGTCCACCCACCCAGTGTCCCGCGCGCGCGCGCGCGTACGTACGGTGCCCCCCCTCCCTCTTACGCTCTCTGACGCGCGTCGTCCTCGACGCGGCGTCGCGACGCCGCGCTTTCTCGAAAACACTAGTGACAGTAGCACCTGATCGCTCTTTCAGGGTAGCTCTAGCGCCCCTTGCACCTCATATAGCAGAGAACATTGTTGTAACATTGCGGCAATATTGCAGCAACATTGTAATATTGTCGCAATATTAACAATGTTGTCCCATACAGTACATAACGTTGTTGTAATACTACAGCAATATTGTAATATTGCCGCAATATTGCTGCAATATTATAATAATGTTCTGTGCTATATGGGACGTGTTTAAATTGATTCACGTATCGAAAAAAGTGCCATAGGATTGTAAAAAAATTTCTAACTTTTTAATCTTATATTTTTCTATGTACATTAAAGATACCAGAATTTGCGAATTCTCGTACATCCTATATATAGAGTTCAATGATAGGTACTCATTTTTATTTTTAATGGAAAAATATAAGATTAAAAAATTAGACATTTTTTGCAATTCACGGTCCGTAATTCCTGGTACACCCTATATATTGGAATGAGCCATCCCTTTAGGCATGAAAGGGGGCGGTGCAAATTGGATAGAGATAGCGTTGAGTCATACTTGTTTCTCATTTTGACATATACTATCGTTTACCAAAAACATTTGCCTCGATTAACTTTAGTATCGTCGATACCGTGTGACGTAAAAATTATTATTATTTAAAATTGACAAGATTATTTACAAAAATATAATCATAGTAAGCTATTGTTGAGTCATTTATAGACTTTTTCTTGAATGCTATTTCGGAATACTTTGTGAATGATGTTTTGGGGAGGCTTTTACCGAAGCGAGTCTTCTGCGTTAGCCAATCAGAAAATCACAACGAGGCTAGATATGACGTCACGACGTGGCTGTTTCTTTCTAAAGTTGCCACCCCCTGCTCCTTGGCTTATTATGTATGGAATTCAATGGTATCTGCGATTTAAATTCCCGCGACTCTTCGACTACGCGCCCTCGATTTTACCCTCCCTCGCTTTCAGCTCGACGGCATCTTTATCCGTTTCACCATCGAGATGATGACGTCGGACGCTTGCGCGTAACACCCCGTATATCGGATGACGTCATATATATCGGCGTTTCATTTTCTCATTCGTTGCACCTGTCTCACGGAGGGGTAGGACTGCCGCAAAGTCCCTCGAGTAGTCGCTCCTTTTGATATTTCGATGTATATAAATATTCTTGTTATGTAATAAAATGTGAAGATTAATATTTTCATTAATATAAAGTGTGTTATTTAATTTATAAAAATGATATTATTTTCATTAATAAAAAAAGTTATTTAATTACATGAAGTTTATATTATATTGATGTTATATTGATACGTATTGTTTTATAAATTATCTAAAATTTTTATTGTTTTATAATTATCTTAAATTGTTTTATAAATTATCTTAAATCATTTTGCATATTAATTCCAATATTTATACTTTATAGTCTACCTAATTTTATTTACAAATATTCTATGACTTAAATTTTTCTAATTGAAAGTTTAATTAATTGAAAATTTAATTCAAAATTTAATTCATTCAAAATTTATTTCATTTGTCTTAACCATTTTTTTTTAAATTATCTTATTATATGCTTTTACTGATGTTTTTTTCTGAATCTTTCTTGTGTGCCAAAGGAAGTTTTTGTCCCGTTTAATAAATAAATAGATCTTGTCGATTAATATCGATTACCGATTCTCTGCGACCGGAGTCGTTCGTTGCCCCGAGAGATTATAAAGTCGTTCAACTTCAATACAACTACGACTAAAATTATCGGCGATACATATAGCACTGTATTATTATTGAACCATAGCTATATCCGGTCTACCGGTTATACACCAACGCCAAATATAGCGAGATTTCCGATATTATAACTCGCAAATGTATATGCTGCCTTTGGTAGCTCGACACACAAAGGAATATTTCAATTTTAATTATATAATTTCATTAGATATATACGATAATGAAAATAGTTATCGAATATTTTAATGTATAAAATTTAACGGAATGCTGTTCCTCTCCCAATTTGGGTAACCTTGATTTTAAATATATCACATTGAATATTTTATTAATACTTATATTTTATTACGTGAATCTCTTAGGAGTGAAATCCATAATAGGATTGTGCTTTATATAAATATATCTTAATTCTTATGGATAAAAGATCTTTCCATCCATAATTCTTATAATAAGAAATATATATAACTAGCTTGTTACATAGGGTTCTGATGAAACTTTACGGAATAACCACCACTGTTGGGATCCTGCTGCAGCTCAAAGTTATTTGTGGAAAGGCCGAAGGGCTTCAACACTATGTTACCTAGCTCTTTAAGCTTCCCCAACATTTCTGTCTTTAACTTTTCGTTTCTTTCATTAATTAATGGAGGTAACCTCTATGAAAGAGAAATAATTGATACATCAATAAATTATTGTAAATAATGTTTCAAATACCTATATTTTTCAAGTAAGTACATTACCTTAATAGCATGATTAGCCTCTGTGTGATTAGGATCGAATGTTAGTACTTTTTTAAAATCTTCTAATGCCTCGTCCAACTTATTCGTCTCCTCGTACAATTGTGCTCTTCTAATGTAAGCCTTTACATAGGCGGAATTTAATTCAATAGCTTTTGTGCAATCAGATATCGCCGAGTCCTTCTCTGTCTGTTATTAATTAATATAGTTTATATAAATATATCTTAATTCTTATGGATGAAAGATCATATTATCCATAATTCTTATAATATTATATATAATAAGAATATAATATATATTCTTGTTTGCTGAATGACTGGAAGAATATGAACACAATATATATATCAATAGCTGCTTTCAACAAGTACCTGACATTTTGCTTTTGCCGCTGCTCTGTTAGCATACAATATAGACCTTTCTTTGCTATATGCTAAAGGGCAAATCTGCAAAGCTTGCGTGTATTGAGATATCGCCGACACGTATTCGCCATTTTTGAAGAGATCATTCCCCGTCTGCTTTAAACCCTCCGCCTCGCACTTCAATTCCTGCGAAAGTAGACAAATGTGACATAGTATTTTAACATAATAATAATAATAATCGTATAATAATAGAAGAACACGCAAACGTACCTCCTGTTCAGCTTCTGAAAGTGACAGATCTCTGTCCTTGAGAAGATCCTCGATTGCATCGTCCGAAGGCTCTGCATCTTGTGCGCTATCATTATCCTTCTCCTTATCTAGGACATCCCACGAGTCATTCGTGGTGTTTTTCGATTCCGCATTCTCGTCCACTTTGATGCAGGAACTTTTTAGATCTCGGGTGAGCTCCTCGATAACCTCCTCGTTGGACTTGAGTCCCTTCGATCCGTCACTCGCATTATCCATCGCTAAATCGGCATCAACGAAACGTGGAGACGCGTAAACACAACACGCAAGATCAATCAGCTGTTCGACGGAAGCGATTCACCCTGACTTGACGTTTCTTCTACGCTCAACGATAAGTCGCGTATCGTTTCTAACCAACCTCGTACGTCGAGCCTTAACAACAATTTAATGGATTCCGTCCTTGGCGAGCTTTCTTCTCCTCTCTTCCTTTAAATACGTCTGTTTTGCACTTTAAAATCACGAGGAAAACGCAACGTATATCGCGACATCGGCGGAGACCAAAGGACGTTGCGCCTTTTAAACACAGATGGCGCGAGAGGCGCAAAGATCGCGCGAGGATGAAGAGGGGAAACTGCCTGTCACGTGTCACGACCCGCGAGGACCAATGAGCTTGCGGCTCTTCCGCTGAAGCTGCGAGTTCATTGGACGGCGTGCGATGTTTGAGAAAAAGCATCGTTGAGCTTTGAATCGATGACTTTGATTTGAAAATAACATAGTCATGTAAATCCGAGAATTTTCACGGAACATTAGACGGCCACAAAACATTAGTTGGAGATCAGTGAGTAAGTTTTCCTGCGAAAATAAAATACACGTCGAAGGAAACGTGACCTTAAAAAAAAAGAGAGGTTTTTGAGGGAAGAATTATATCTTATTTACGTTTCTGAATATCTTCTCTGATTATGCATATTTGATTATCTCTTGTTTCCTTGAAATTATCGTGACACGACATCTCGTATAATTTTTTATCGCTATTTTTCACGAAAAGGAAATAAAAATCCGCAATTTATTAACATTTATTAAAATATAAAAATATTGTTTACAAAAATCATGCATCTAAATTTTCTTTTTAATTCTTTTCATATTTTATGTTTCCTCTCTCTCTTCTCGTAAAATTATTTACGTGTATTTTTAGCACGTAAATTTCTCCGACAGATGGAACGGAATAATTTTATCTGTCAGAAATTCACAAATTAAAAATGTGCGCAAATCTGACGAGATAATCGTCGCGTTTTTTTTTTCTCTTTTTTCAATCGATGAGATAAATAAGCCTTACAAGCGCGTAAAAACTTAATTTATGTGCGCGGATAAAATTCCGTGCACGTTTCGAAGAACAAGTGTCGTAACTGTATAAATTAAACTGATTAGCGATAATATGATGCATGATATCGTTGGAAAGGAATTATGTCGAGCGAGGTCACGAGGCGATAAATTGGCCGGGCTCTTAAGATTATTATTCTGAAAGTTCCGAAGACCCGCGAGCGAATGAGGATTTTTGGGCGCGTTCACATATGTGCATAAGTATTACACGTATATTTGTACTAAAAACGACGTTATTCTTCGCGCGAGAGTAAATATTTTATTTACAACGATGACGATGAGGAGATTGATCGATCGTCGAGTGTCACTTTAGGAGGCGCGAAATAAGGAGAGAGAGAGAGAGAGACGGAGAAACAGCTGATTTTGACATTTGATATTTTTTCCGCTTTTTCTTGCAGATTCCCTTTTTGGAATATTCAATTTATTTCGCATCGCAAATATAACCGAGCAATCTAAGAATAGCGATCGATAAAAGGACGACAGAGAGGGAGAGTGAAAATTAGAAGGCGACCGAGAGACGGAGATAGAAGAAGATAGGAAAACGGAGGAGGGGGAAGTATATATAACACATATCGGACGCACCACACGTCGTTCTCGTTCTTGGGTCGAGGACGAGAGAGGCGCGAAGGAATTAACCACGGCCTGTGTTTATATGATTCCCGATGAGGTGAATGGGACCGGGATCGGATACAGTGTAAGGGTTCGAGCTGCGAGAAAATTGGACGGCGGGTGCGATAAAAGTGCCTTTTCTGTCATCAACGCGCGCGCAAAATGGTAAGTTTACTCGGCGAACCCAGCTGACTTGACGTTCCGCTACTTTTCCGCAGGTTTATTAATCACTGTTTTGTTATTTCTAACATATTTCTGATATATTTCTGACAGTTTTTCCTCCCCCAGACAGATTCTTTTCTCCCCCAGTCTCAGAGAGACGGAGCGAGGCTGAGACAGCGAACGGCGAAGAGGACGTCGGTCGAGTTACCTTACGAGAGCAAGATCATCTCGAAGAAGCAAGACGTACTGCCAAACGAGACCCAGCATCTCCTTTTCGTCCTCACGTTCTTTCTCTTCGTGTCCTTCATCATCATCGTCTTGGAGAGAAATCTGCCTGAACCGATTACCATTGATCAGGAGAGACTGTATCCGGAGAGATTCGTAGCTGAGCGAGCTCGCAATCATATTGTGGATCTAACGTCGTGCGGACCTCGTATTGCCGGGAGTTACGCAAACGAAAACATTACTCCTCTAGTTCTCATGACAAAGATCAATAAAGTGATTGAAACGGCGCATGAGAATCACAGAGTAGTTTTTAATGTTACAAGGCATAGCGGTGCATTTCCACTCAAATTTCTTGATGGCATGACCAACGTTTATAGAAATATGCAGAATGTTGTTGTTAAAGTCGCACCTCACAGGCCTACGATGCACAGCTTGCTGCTTAATTGTCATTTTGATACATTTATAGAAAGTCCAGGTAAACAAATTATTATATATGATATACAAGGTTGGCAAAGTTCTATATTTCTAGAATATAATTCATGCCAGTGGTAAAAACTGATATTTCTGAAAAACTGGTTTTTTTTCTTTTAACAATGATAAAATATAAATAGAAAATTTTTGTATCGATATATTCAGTAATTAAGAGAATATTTTCAAAGCATCAATGAAAATAAAATCCGTATTAGATTAGGAATTAACATAAAAAATAAATTAGTTTTTTATTAGAAGTCGAAGGATAAATATGAATCAGATATTGATAACAATTTTTAATTCTGTTATTATATTTTTTTATTTAAACCAAAAATTAATATAAGATTCAATAACATTTACATTCCCAAAGTTTTGTTTAAAAAATTGTATTTATTAATTTGAATTGAAAAAGACTACATATTATTATATTGATTTTTTATAAATTACAGTAATTAGTATGATTTAATAATTAAAGCAAACAGATCTCTTTCTCTTTTTGTATCAAATTTATATAAAAATATTTTAGTATTACATATCAATTATTTTTATAATTTTTGCCAGTTTATTCTGTTGGATAAAAATCAGAATTTACCATAGTTTTTTTCATTCGCTGACCAATCTTGACAATATATGAAAAAAACACCTGTTTCTAATGCATATACACGATTATTATTTAAATGAAAAATTTCAGGCGGTTCAGACGATGCTGCTGGTTGTGCTGTGATGCTGGAGATTCTACGATTAATTACTCAAAGCCCCAAAATATTGAAGCATAGTATTATATTTTTATTTAATGGTGCAGAGGAAAATATATTGCAGGTATGTTAATTTTGATAGTTGTAAGTAATCCAGAGAGGCATTTTATTTTCAAAATATACTTTGTAGGCATCTCACGGCTTTATAACACAGCATCCATGGGCAAAAGAAGTTCAAACATTTATAAATCTAGAAGCATGCGGAGCGGGTGGTCGTGAATTATTATTTCAGGCTGGACCTCACAATCCTTGGATGCTCGAAGTACGTCATCTTATCTACTCTGTTATATTAACTCAACATTAAAACTCCTTTCTCATTGTGACATACATATGTACATAGGTTTATGCCAAATCTGTGCCATATCCTTATGCGTCATCGTTAGCTCAGGAAATATTTGAAAGCGGCATTGTACCTGGTGATACAGATTTTCGGATATTTAGAGATTTTGGAAAAGTCTCTGGTTGGTTTTATAAATTTGTTTCTTTATTATTTTATTATTACAAAGAATTTACATATAAAATTTCTAATCCACATGTAAAATTTCACATAGGCGTCGATTTTGCATGGTCAAAGAATGGCTATGTATATCACACTAAGTTTGATAATGTCGATCAGATACCACTGGGAGCTTTGCAACGAACCGGCGATAATATTCTCGCATTAACAAAAGGGATAGTGTTCGAAGATCACTTAGCAGATCCGAGTATGCAAGACACACGGGGAAATCTCGTGTTCTTCGATTTTTTGGGCGCATTCGTGATTAGATGGCCGCAATACATCGCCAGTACAGTTAATATCGCCAGTTTAATTATAGCTGGGTACTCTATCTATTTGAATATGCAGAATGCACGTAGAAGTAAGAATATACAATCATTATTTAGATTGAGTCTTCAGTAGATTTCAATCACTATCCATTTCTTTGAGCAAATCTGAATAATATTAATTATTGAATATATAGATATTAAAAGATGGTCGTACATGAGACATGTGATAATGTGCGTTGGAATAGTCATCGTCTCCTGGCTGGCGTCCATGTTTTCCTGTACGTTAATCGCCCTGGTCCTGACTAAATTGGGAAAGGTAATGAGTTGGTACGCGAGACCGGCATGGCTATTTTTTTTATACATCTGTCCAACCACTTTTGTGTCGATGATTGTATTTTTACATATCGGATCGAGACAGAGGAAGGCAAGTGATAAGATATGTTCTGTGACAATCTCATTCATTAAATGATTACGCTTGTGTATTTGAATATTAACAAATGAATTTAAAAACTTATTGTGAAAAAAATTTTTTATAATAGAATAATCGATAATTTACAGGAAGTTAGCTCTGCATGGATCTTGTATCAAATGTACTGTGATGCGTATGCCATAATATGGATGACGATTCTTTTCGTGTGTGTTTTATTCGAGATACGATCAGGCTTTATACCGTTGCACTGGGTCTTATTCCCGGCGATCGGAAATATTATGCGACATTATTTCTTTAGCAAATGGAAAGGTAAATATAATTTTAGCATAATTCTTTTATCGTTTTTCAAGTACTAATATTAATATTTCAATCACTTTCTCAATAAATACTGTTTGATGCAATGATATAACGTGTAATAAATGAATAAGTGCTAGAAATAACAAATTAAATATAATATATAACACAAATTATTTATATATATATAACACAAATATATATAACACAAATTATTTATATATATAATATAAAAATGTAATATAGCATATATTATTTTGCATTATTACAACAGTAATGTAACAAAATATAATATATTGTTATGTACATGTTCCTTTTGCTATTGAAATTAGACTTAATTAACCCATATTCAATTATTTATTAAAATGAATATAAAGGAAAGGTCTAAAATATATATCTATTGTTTTTAATTTCTAATACAATCCTAATAAAGGATTCAGAGAACTCAAAATATTAAATAGATTATTTGAAATGAGAAGAAAGGGGACAAGAGAGAATAGGAAATAATTTATTTGCTGATTTGTTTACTTATTTGAAACAAAATTTCTATATAAATTAAATTCTGAATTTTATAAATTAAATACACATAATTTACTCATTTAATTACCAATTTTATATACATGATTAATATTATATATAAATCAATTTTCTACATGAAATATAATTACAACGATATACATATGTTATATTACATGTTCATTTATGAATGCAAAATAGTCATTAACCATTAACTTATTGGTAACACTTATATATTGTAATATTCCATTTTAGTTTTTATATAATATTCATATGACAGTGTTTACTAGATTAAAGAAAGCGTTTTTCTCTCTAAAATATTTAATATAAAATACTTTTTTATATAAATGTTGTAGACTGGAAATGGCTTTGTTATCATTTGGGATCATTGAGCCTGTCTTATATACAGTCATTTTACTTAGCACTCGGCGCTCTCTATCTCTTTATCCCAATAATGGGAAGGTCTGGCGGCAGTATTAATTCCGAAGTTGTAGTGGCTAATATGTTGTCAATATTATTCTGCCTGCTGTTTAGTTTCACGGTAAAATATTTAAGTTATATTAAAGTATTTGATAAATCATATTTGCATGAAGTGTAAAATTTGAAATTATTAATTTTTACATATTTTTTTTCAATACTGTATATAACATAATATGTAACTGACATCTCAATATTTTCAGTTGCCAATAGTGCTTCTAATAAAGAATGCGGAACGAATTATAAATGTGATAGTTGGGATTTTCTTAATTGCCATTGCTATGTTAATTTTAACACCACTTGGATTCCCTTACAGTGGTGATCCATTATCGCCTGCTGCAGAACGATTTATGATCGCGGTATAACATAATTTTTTCTTCTTTTTGTTCAAAAAATTTCTTGTTTAATATAAAATAACAGTTTGTTATTTATCATACATATATCATATATATCTTTTTTTGTGATTTACAGCATACTCGACGTCAGTTTTATGATGTAAATGGTAATGTTAGATATTCTGGTACAGGATATTGGTTAGTGAATTTAGATATGAATAGTCCTCACAGTGTAGAATCAATAGTACCTGAAGTGGCTGCCGCGACGCCAACAGTCAGAGATTGCGAAAAAGAATTATACTGTGGTTTTCCATATTTAATGCCAGTCACAACTTTCTTATGGTAGATATCGAAATTGATAGAATTATTTGAAATAAAATTCAAATTTCCTTTTTCATACTGAAATTGAGAAAGTGCCTTTTTTTTACAGGAAAACGAGTTGGATTCCTGGACCTGCCCCCATTATAAATATCCCTACAAAACTCGAGATGATTTCAAAGACTGCAAAACAGCACATGGTTAATTTTACCTTTAATGTTACAGGTAATATAATAATATAATAATTAATGTTTATCTATCCAATCTATAAAATTCGCCAGTATAAATCATTTTATTGACTTTTTTAGGTCCTGATCATATAGGCATAATTCTATCTCCATATAAAGGTGTTCACTTAGAAAAGTGGACTGTGAGTGATGAGAAACCGGTACAAGGTCCAATGTGGAACGATAGGGAAACTTACTTCATTTATTATGCATGTGCCTCAGATTGTATGCCATATACATTTTCTATCGAGTTAAATGTAAGTTTGTGATTTTTGTAAAAAAAAGTGTATTCTTTTATTGCATTGGATAATATTGTGCCTTTTGTATCATCTTAAATTATGTGTATTCCCTAGATGTCTACTGCGCAAAAAGGCCCGTGCTTGTCAATCGCGTTAGCCGGACACATTTTACACGGCGATCACCAAAGATCTCCAATATTTGAGAAATTTTTGGCGCAATTCCCATCATGGACTGTCATCACTCCCTGGACAGCGACGTATACATCATGGGAATTTTGCGAACGAGAACGACAGTAGGATAATGATGTGGTAAGCGTGGACTAAAATGCAAAGCAATATTGTCCTACAGAATAGAGCATCTCTCGAATTAACAAAGCAGCCTAATAACGTGGCTATATAACATCGCTTGAATAGATTTAGTCTTTACATTTCTTAAGGTATTTCAACATTCGAAAAATATCAAGAAACGTTAACGAAATACAGTAAAGAATGAAACGACGAAGTGTTTTCATTCTGAGTTTATATGAATTTTTTACTAGCGTATTATCGTTAACAGAAACGATGTCAAATTAGCGTAAGACGTCGATTTAGATTTAAATTATACGGAAACATCTTATCATTATATAAATATATACATATAGAGAGGAAGAGAATGAAAAAGAGACAAGAAGAAAGATAATACGATGGAAAATATTTGTCCAAATACTTTCAAAAGTGATAGCTACGATTATTTTTCGTAGAAAAATATACAGTAATATTGCATATCATATAAGCACGATTTAGAATAATTCTACGCACTATTTTTCGATAATTTCGACAAATATTAAATAAAAAATCAAAATTTAGAAATTGAATGATGATATAGAAACTGTGATTGCATGATATACGCTCTCTTAGTACACTTCAAATCTACAGATTTAAATATCGATACTAGTTCAAGTTACCGTTTCAGGCGATAAATCGGCTACTAACATTACATGATTAGCGTATTGTGCATGAATTATTACAAGAACTGTTTGAATCGTTTACAGACTGTTTTATGCTTTTGAATACCTTAGAGCTTGCGAGTTTGAAAGTTCGCGGTTTAATCGGCCATAGCTGCTATTTGACATAAAATACAGCTCAATGCTGTAATCACATCATCAAATTTTCCTCGTAAATAGACAATATAAATGACAAGTAAATAGTAGTTTACACTTACATCTTTTAATACTTTAGATGCGACAAACAAAAGTTATCTCAGATACTAAAATTAAATACTAGAAGTTTAATATTTTGAATAGTAATCAAAGAAATAACATTTTTTCCTAAATATATTTGTGTATGCGTGTTGTGTATACATATGCACACACATACATACACAATATTAATATGTTATATTCTATTCTTTGATTTAAGTATTTGGTTACAATCTATATGTAATGAATTTAGAAAAATTTGTAAGAGCATCAGACTTTTTAAAGAGCTTTTATTTTATAGCTCTAATCAATTTATGAACCATTCCCATTTTTCTTAGCATTAGATAGATATTTAGAAATTTATAATAGCGTACCAAAAAAATTGAGACTTGACATGAGTATATATCAGGATATATATATATATATATATATATATATATATATATATATATATATCCTGATGTAATTTTGACTTTTATATAATAGTTTAATATTTTGCATTTAGGTGCTAATCTGCTATCTCTTTATGCCATAGTTATAAACAGAGGACTTATATTACAAGATTATCTTTAATTCTAAAATTCTTAATTTCTTTATGCAACTTTCTCTTCAGTGAAAAAATAATTTTTTTCATCCGTAAAAGTATTTCAGTTAATTATGTGTCTCTATACAAAGAGTATCCATATTTTACGACATCTTGTTGCACTTTTAACAATATATTCCGGGTAAAGGATTGGGAAGCATTTTCTTATTACTATATCTATTAATACATGATAATTAATTATTATTCTTTTAATGTGATTTGACACGATTTCCTCTTCTCTTTCATAATTCACAATTAATATCAATTTATTCCACGAGAGCACAATGAAGACTACTTAATAAAATTGATTAACGGGACACCTAGTTTTTATTTCTATAACAGTTAAAAGACTATGAGTTATTCTGTTTACGTAATGAAATTTTTGCCACGAATCCATTGAGACACAGCTGATTGGTTAAATACACGCTTATGCCTGTGCCGTAAGTTACTCTTATGTAACTTACCGAATTATTCATTGTACTTGATAAAATATAATATACGACGAATATGATTATATATCGCGCGAAACTTATCATTGAAATCTTTCGCAAATAGAGAAAGTTCTCTATCAATATTAGTATATTGATCAATATTAGTGATTAATAGTACAAAAAAATACGCGCGCATATTTCGTTATAAAAAAAATCATAGTTTTATATAATATATGAATCAAGATTTGTAGTAATAAAATAGTAAAATATATCAAATGTGAAGACAAATATTGAAGGATATTAGAGAGAACATTTATGTAATTTATTTTATTTTATAATATATTATTATTTAATATATTTTGTAATATATTATAATATATTATATATTTTATAATATATTTATAATATATATTATTGTAATATGTTATTATGTAGTATAAAATTGTTTGTTTCCTGTTTGTTACACAATTTATGTTACATTGTTATTTACGTTATGTTAATATTATTAAATATTAATTAGGTTACATATTTTCATCTATGTTTACATTAATTATCCGTATCTATTATAAATTGTGGCTGTTTATTCAATTGTTCACTAATTTTCTTACACACGATTTACAATTTGTTAGCTAAAAAAATGTTTTAAAACCGCACAAATCCATATTTACTTAATTCGTGTGCACAAAGTTATAAGCAATAATTATCTCAATTTAAATAGCAGCTGTACGTAATTAATTACAACGATTTGAAAAAAATAGCCGAATATTGCAATTTGTCTTATATGTGTTCATTTTTGTGACTATTATGCAAAGTATTCTATTTTTAAATTGCCCTTGGCAAATATCTCGAAAATGGAAAATATGGAAGATATGGAAAAATGTTTCAGACATAATTTATAAATCGTATAAATTATAAAATATATATATATTTATAAAATTTATAAATTTATAAATTTGTCAAATGAAAATATAAAATATCTTGTAAACTATTCAATTTTTGGCCATTCTACTCTTATAACTTTGTATTGAATATTGCGAAAAATCGATTTATGTAAAAAAATTGGGGCTATTTCATTTGAGAAAATTAGGTTGACTTTCACATGATTTTAACGTTTTTTCATTATATTTATCTTTATCATATTTTTTAAGATATTTGCCTGGAGCAATTTAAAAGGGACATGCCGTATATTATTTACATGAAAGTGTATCTTTATGTGTTCTGTGATTCTTTAAGCAATCGCATATTGATACAAGCGGAGAGAGCTTTAGTTATCGTAAAGCGAAAGTTGCGTAGCGCTCTACATTAACAGGGTTCTTATTTTATTGTTAAGAGTAAAGCGAAGTTGAATAAGAACAACAGTTTTCTCATTGTTCCTTTAAGAAGAATTTCAGATTAAGCGCTGAAGGGCCTTCTGTATTTTTTGCACGACTCGTACACAATTGTACTTCACAACAACTTCGTTTTACGCCAAATACCGGCCAAAGGATCCATCCATTAAGCGTAATCGCCGATAATTCGTTTCTGTTATCCTGTAAATAAGAAAAAAAAGCGTCAAGTCTATGCGTCTGTTGAAAAGCGTCTTGTTGCTTTAATGTACATTCTCTATTGCTTAAAGCTTTAATTGTTTTCCTACGAAGATGATAATGTTAGGAAATTGCCAAAAATATCGAGCAATAATATATACGTTAAAACAATGCTTCTTTATGTAACTTTCTAAACAGACGCGTGCGTTGTGCTCACGCGTTTCTTAAACAGAAATTTTTACTTTAAGACTTTGGATCGCAATATTTATGTGATGTATAGAGCAAAGATATAAACATTCTCGTGATATAAAACGAGAAGTTAATTTATTGGAAATTCGATTAGTCCAGCTTTTCTCTAATGAAGCAAATACCAAATAACAGTTATATAACTGTTAATTATAATTTTTCACTCAACAATATAATTGTTACATGTTATGTAACAGTTATATTGTTGAATGGGAAATTACAACTAACAGTTATATAAATGTTACTTGGTGTTTGCTAGGAAGTTTGATCGTTTTGAGAACGATTAATGATATTATAAAAACTCCACTTTAGGTTACTTAGATTATTAAATTAATCAATGAAATACTTTGAACGTTTGATCAGAGTAATAATCATGTTTAAAATCAGAATAGCATCAAAAACAGGATGTACTTTATATTATTTATAAATTCAAAATCTATTTGTGGCTGAACATGTGTTCATAAATAAATTGGGTTTAATTTCTCTCAGAGCGATCAAATCTGCTTCAGGAAGCGCTATAAAATATAGATAATCGAAAGATACTCTGAACTAAATAGCTTGGACAGACCGTGACTTGACGTGAGACATTATTGTGTCTTTTATAGTACGTGCTTTTAACGATAAATTGCGATGGGCGTATCATGGACTTTAATTCAAGTGATTTAACGTTCGATAGGAAAGACAGAGAGAGAAAGAGAAAAAGAGCGAAGCGTATAATATATAGTAAATATTGTTTTCCTGCACACGTAAATTTATTTATACACAGGCATATGTTCCTGCTTATGTTTGAGCATTACGGATATATATTGCGATACTGTTACTTGGCAGTTGTTGTTACATGATTAAGAGATTATATGAAAGAGAGGAAATAAAGAAAGTTAACGATACATTATCGATTTTGCTTCATTGGATTTTATTGTTGCGTTCGATCGTTAATAATGACAACTAATCGAGTTGACAACTAAGCGAGTTATAGATTGTTAAGTGATTGCTGAGTAATTAACTACGATTAATTGATACGTTAATTATGCGAATATTAAGATTGTTCATGTGTGTTTATATTTTTTTAGAGAAAGTACATTTATTACATTTGTTACATTTATTTGTATAAATTAAGTTTGCGCGTTCAAATTATTGTTACATAACTTTTGTCGCGCGTTTAATCGATATAAAATTGCTCTTGGTTACTCAACGAATCTTTTGTTCGAATCGAATCAATTTCCTGTTTCCCGAGGCGTATTACTCTTCGACGATTGTCACAACAATCGCGTTATTTAAGTCTCACGATCGCATTCGCATAACGTGGAGATATCGTAGAGGCAACAATGGAATCACGTGTAAGAACGTCGTCTTATGACATGCGTTATAACAACTTTTCAAATCATTCAGAGAAAAAAATAAGAGTATCGTTTAGCAATTATGTATTTAATTTTTTTTCTAATTCGATCCGTAATATTTTTAATTAATATTATTACATTAATGTTATATTTAAACTTATATTAATGTTATATTAATTTATATTTATTATTTAGATAATTTTATAATAATCAAATTTTTTTATTTAATAATATTTTTTGTTTAATTATATATCATTTATCTATTTAATAATCATATTTTTTATTTAAAAATTACAAAAGATATATATATATATATATATATATATATATTTCCTCATATTCCTCATATTTCCTCCTAGAGAATTTGAAAAATGATATATATATATATATATATATATATATATACATATATATCATTTTTCAAATTCTCTAGGAGGAAATATGAGAATATCGTTTAGCAATTATGTGTTTGATATTTTTTTTCTAATTGAATCTGTAATATTTAACAAATTAATATATATATTATACATTAATGTTATATTTATTAATTAATGCTATATTAATCACATTCTATATTAATAATTATGCTATATTAATCACATTTTATATTAATAATTATTCTATATTAATTAACTCTATATTAATCATATTTTTTTATTTAAAAATTAGAAGGAGGAATATATATCATCATTTTTCAAATTCTCTAGAAGGAAATATGAGAATATCATTTAGCAATTATATATTTAAGATTTTTTTTTAATCCATAATATTTAATTATTAATATATTAACATTATATTTATAATTATATAATAATCATGTTTTTAATTTAAAAATTAGAAGAAAGAATATATATCATTTTTCAAATCCTCTAGAAGGAAATATGAGAATATCATTTAGTAATTATATATCTGAAGTGTTTTTTTAAATTCAATATTTAATGATTAATATATACATTAATATTTTATATTTTATTTATATTTTATT